ATTATTAAGACCAACTAGAACTCATGCAGCAATTGGTGCCTAACATTAAGTCTGTGTGCCCGGGGCTTTGCAGCCAGTGGGAGCTGCACATGGAGGCTCCCACTGGGGTCACTGCCCCCGCTGGCTAGATTTTTATTTCTTTTCCCCACAAGCCTCTGAGCAAGCTTGGGATTTTCCTGTTACAGCTTCTCTACAACAGTCTCCAGCTGCCACCCAAACTCCAGAAGCACCTGGGCTCCAAAGGCCACAGAACTTCCCTGACCTAGAACAACTGGCCCTGCCTGCAGGCAGGTCCTGCCATATGTGCTTCTTCTGCACAATCCTGTGTGCATTTTCCAGACGGCTCGCTCCCTCTTGCTTCCCTAGAACCCTCTCCTCGGGCTGCCACTCTCAGCTCACGACTACACGCTAACAGCTGTAGCTGCCCTCACCAGACTGTGACCACCTGTGCTCTCCCCCAGACATGGTGCACCTCATTGTCAGCAGGTTTGGTGAGACGACTGAGAATTCTTAAAGGGAGGAATTAGTTAAAAGAGAAAAAATGGGAAACACTATTCCAATGGCGGGAGGGAATTAGGTCCCTGTATGATAATATGCTGGACGGTCTGAAAATGAAACAATTTACATGAGAGGATAAATAATTTAGGTGAGATTTATGTGATGTCAATTATAAACATTATCAGTTTTATTGATTTATTGGGAGGTGATGTGGGATTCCCCTCTGTATGCTGTAAATACCATTGGTTAATAAAGAAACTGTCTTGAGCCCGTGACAGGGTAGAATAGAATAGAGCTAGGCAGGGAAAACTAAACTGAATGCTGGGAGAAAGGAGGCAGAATCAGAGATAATCATGGAGTCACTGCCCACTGCCAGAGACAGACGTGCTGAAACTTTGCTGGTAGGCCATGACCTTGTGGTGATGCACAGATTAATGGAGATGGGTTAAACTAAGATGTAAGAGTTAGCAAATAAGAAGCTAGAGCTAATGGGCCAAACCATTTAAATAATATGATTTCTGTGTGATTATTTTGGGAGTCTGGGCAGCTGGAAAATGAACAAGCGGTCTCCTTACAACAGGTATGCCTGTACAAATTAAGACTGACAATGCTCCAGCATATGTCTCTGGCAAATGAAACAGTTTTTTGCTTATTACAATATAAAGCTTATTACAGGTATACCATATTCCTATAGGCAAGCAGTTATAGAAGATCAAATTGAACTCTAAAGGATATGTTAAATAAACATAAAAAGGTAATAAAGACCCCCAGAAATAAAGATTGTATAATGCTTTAACTTTGAATTTTCTAAATGCTAATGAGAAAGAAACAACAGCTTCGGAGAGACAGTGGATAGTAGAAAAATCTATGAAATTAAATCAGCCTGTATACTTTAAAGATGTACTGAACTCAGAATGGAAACCAAGATTTGTGTTACATTGGAGAGGGATTTGCTTTTGTTTCCACAGGAGAAGAAAACTGATAAATGTTCAATTTGAACAAAAGAGATCTCTTAATTAGAAGAGATGATAGTTCATCAATCAGTGTGACCATTCAATCTAAACTATCTTATACGACTAAGAAATGCTTCTCATTTGATCAGATATAACTTCCCAAAAGGGAACCTTCCCAAAGCCAGGGTTGGGGAAGGGTTGTCCTTTTGTCTCTTCAGGAGAATAAACAACCACTGGACAGATGAGACGTCTGAAGAAAAAGGAAAATCATTCAGAAAAAAGCGTACCAAGAAAAAGAGTAAATTGGCCTCTTGGTATATCACATTTCACAGAGCAGAAGAGGGCACCAGACCTCATTACAGATGGTTGTGAGCCACCATGTGGTTGCTGGGAATTGAACTCAGGACCTTTGGAAGAACAGGCAATGCCCTTAACTGCTGAGCCATCTTTCCAGCCCGAGGATGAAATTTCATAAATCTTCCCAAATGTTTGTTTCTGCTGTTCTCTACAGACATGTAATGGAAATGGACTGTTGTATCCCAGTCCAGTTAAAGACTAAAGCTGGCTGTGGAGTTGGACTGTGGCTCTCTCCTTTTCTAAACCCAAGCATGCTTGTTAAAGTAAAATCCAAAATCTTTGTCTCACGTCAGAAGAGCCACCTGATATGAACAGAAGAAAAACCAAAATTAGGGATTACTCTATTGCCACTAATCTCATAATCCTTTGGTTTTATTTTGACTCTTTGGAACTTTTCCATAAGACATGAATGAGTATTATCTCAAAATTTATAAAATTAATATATCTGTATGCATTTAAACGTTTTTTTGTCATGATATTAATGGTCATATAGAGTACTAATTCTAGAAAAAGACTCCCTCTAGCTTTCTGTACATGATCTTGGTTTGAGGTTTAATTCCTAGGTAACTAGGAATTAAGTTTTTATATTATGGATATACAAAACAAATATTGATCTTTTAACCTCTTTGAGATCCACTGCATATGACATTTAAAATGTTTTTCTGCAGGGAACCATGACCACTTAACAGTAACCTCTGAAGTCTCCAAAAGGAGGAAGGGAACCCATGACGATTCCACTAGAACTATGATAACATTACTAAGCTGAAAAACACCACCTAAAGATTGGCTTTGGACTACAAACAGTTTCGAGGTGGCTAGCTGAGATGATCCAGTCTAACAGACTATTCTAGCAGGACTTGGGACATTCCCAGTATGCAGAGAGTGAACAACAAATGATATAGCGACCTCTCCCAGGACTTGCCCCAGACAGCAGGAAGTATTTTAAGACATGAAGCCCACTTTCCCAAGAGGTGGGGTGGGTGGTTTTTGGTTGTTCAGTGGGTTATGGATATTTGTCATTGTTTAGGGGAATTGGTCACAAATTGTTATTGGTAATGGTCAGGAAAAAAGAGGAACAAAGGAGTTTAGATTCAGGGTTCTCATTTTGAAAAGAAGGGGGATATAGATATGATAGGAATAAGGGTAGATTATTGAGTCTACTCTGAAAAGAAAAAGGAGATACAGAAATAGGATAAAAAGGTAGATTATTGAATCTACTTTTAAGCCAAAAAAAGCAACCATCAGTTTAAATATTTTACACTGGTATGGATTTTTGTATATTGATACAAATTTAAGGTTATTTTTGTTAAAACATTCTGTATATACATTTCTAATCTTGCTCAAGGTATTGTATCTATACAGCTTATTGGACAATGTAATGGAAATTTCTACTCCTTGAAAGTTATTATTACCAACTATTTAGGATAATAAGGAAATGCAAGTTAGTAATTAGTCACCTATCACAATTGAACTTGTAGTCATATAAGGTATTTTTTTCAAGGTCAAACAAATATATTTTAGATAGATAGGTTGTCTTCAAACACTTCAGAGATTTATAGAATATGGCATTTAAATTAATAACATAGGTTTGTTTCTTTTCTTTTTTTTTATGACAATGAGGCATTTCTGGTCCTGGCAGCACCAATCTGCTTCAGAGAAAAGGATGGACATTGAAGAAACTCCATATGGAGTTTACTTACTTTGTGGTAAAAGTTAGCCACTGGGCAAGAAAGTGCCTTTGACTCAGTTGCTGACCGTGCACTGTCCAAATCGGACAAAGAGGACACAAAAGAGAGTGACTGTCGAACTTTGCCAAGACAAGTTAGGACAGTCCTTTGGAATATCCTGCTTCACAGAACAGTCTTTCAAATATGCGAGGCCTGTAGGCCAAAGATGGATGCCCAACACTGCAGAGGACCTTTGGGTGATTGCTCAGGCAGCCAGCTGTTTCTGTCATTTTTCACATTATTTTGGAAGTTCCTTGCTTACATTTCTTGCTTACTCAGGTAATATTTCCTTCTTGGGTCTCAGAGGGAGTTGAAAACTTCATAGTTACAGTTTTCCTTGTTACCAGATTCAGAAAGGAAACTCACTAAAGAGGTGTGGCTTTGTTGGAGTATGTGTGACCTTATTGGAGGAAGTGTGTCACTGTGGGGGGTGGGCTTTGAGTTCTCCTATTTTCAAACTACTCTGAGTGTCACAGGCCATTTTCTGTCGTCTTCTGATTAAGATGTAGCCAGCGCCATGTCTACCTGCATGACACCATGCTTCCTGCCATGATAATAATGGACTAAAACTCTGAACTGTAAGGAGGCCACCTCAATTAAATAGAGTTGCTGTGGTCACAGTGTCTCTTCATAGCAATAGAAACCCTGCCTAAGACATCCCAGGTGGTCCAGCCTTACAGATTGCTCCAATAAGACCTATACTTCTCTAACAACAGATAGTCTTGAAGAGCCTGGATAGTCATTGAAACAGCCTGTTCTTCTCGGCCTTGGCCAACATCCCAACTTTCTTGGGTACCTAACAATGACACCCCAATGTCAACAGGAAGGAGTCACAGAAAAGACTGCATCCCCCTTATCACTGATTATCAACAAACAGACTGGGATGTCAGGTCTCAAACCTGGGACAAAAGGCTAACTGAGTTGCCTATTTTCACAAAGTGGACATGGCTGCTAGCTTTCCCCAGCATCCTTCAGTCCCTACCTTTCACAGGGTAAGGCTGGCATATCCTTACCCTTACCCCAAATTTCCCAGCCCATGGGCTAGACTACCTTTCCCCCAGCTGCTCTTCCTTATATAATCCAGCCAGTTTGGTTACCAGGCCTTTTGGTCTACTCTATACCCTTTTGCTCAGTCTCTTGGCCCAGGCTGCCCCTCTTGGCGAGGCAATTCTCTCCTGTCTTTCCTCCCCCCTCTCCTCACATGGCCAGGCTCAGGATCACGTACCCTCTGGACTGTCCCAGATGTCTCTGCCTCTGGCTATACTTTCCCTTTTATCTATAATAAGCCCGTCTCCTCCAGTGATGCTCTTCCTTTTTCATTCAAGTTTCTTGCTGTATGTGTGTACGTGTGTGTGTGTGTATGTGTATGTGGGAGAGAGAGAGAGAGAGAGAGAGAGAGAGAGAGAGAGAGAGAACAAGGCAGAGTACCAGTTTTTAAACAGGGAACACAACTAGGCAGTGGTACCTCATTTTTTTCCAGGCTGTACTCCTCCATCATCTTGTCTCCCTGCTCCTGAAAGGTGATGATGATCAAGGCCACAAAGATGTTGACAAAGAAGAAGGGAAACACTACAAAGTACACCACGTAGAAGATGGACATCTCCATGCGATACCCGGGGCTGGGGCCCTGGTTCTCAAAAGTGGCATCCACTGAGTGCTTGAGGACCCTGTGAAATGTGGGAGGAGACAGGAGAGCAGCAGAGGGGATGGGAAGGGCAGGGACACAGGAGGGCAGGGGAGACAAGAGATGGAAAAGAGATAAGCCCAGTCAGTGCCTTCTGAGAAGCACTGGGTTGATTATGTGCCAAAGAACGCCGAGCATTTCACACACTTTCCCAGCAGCCCTGGCTCCACTTTGCACACAGGGAAACTGACATTCAGCAGTTTGGTGACTCTTCTAAGGACCCCTTGGTTGGTATCTAAAGCCAGATTTGTGGTAACGGATGAGGCAGGGCATCTTGGACACAGGCATTGGCCAACGTGGGCATTTAAACACAGGTGGTGGTGGGTGTGAAGGAGGTTCAGCAGCAGCACGTGTGGAAGTGTGGAAAAAGCAGCATCGTAAAGACGCACAGGATGTACGGCTTAAAAACTCTCTTGGTGGAGTTCGGTGCCTTGAATGTGTTCCATTGGTTCATGGTTCTAGTGCCCTTGATTCCATTCCCAGCACCACATACACACAGACACAAAGTTCTGTGTTTGGTGAATGCAGTGTTCATGGCTGTCTTGCTCTATAAATAATCTCTAACCAAAGGAAAAAAATTGGTGTCTAAACAGTGCCTGTGTATAGCAGATGTGATAACATATATGTTCACCGTGATGAACATGGGTACCTTGTTTGGACAAATCATTTCTGTGTGGCTATGACTTTCTTCTTAAATTTATCTTTGTGTGTGTGTGTGCGTGCCTATGAGGCACATGATGCAGGTACCCAGAGGCTAGAGGAGGATGCTGAGTCTCCTGGAGCTGGAGTCACAGGCGATGTGAGCTGCCAGCCCTGGGTTCTGGGGACTGTCAGGTCTTCTAGGAGAACTGCAAGCATTCTTGTGCACTGGGTCCCAACATTTAAATGTATTTATTTGTGTGCACATGCCTGCCATGTTAGGGAGGATAACATTTTTTAAAAAATATTTACTTATTATGTATACAGTGTTCTGTCTGTATGTATGCTTGCTGGCCAGAAGAGGGCACCAGATCTCATTACAGATGGTTGTGAGCCACCATGTGGTTGCTGGGAACTGAACTCAGGACCTCTGGAAGAACAGTCAGTGCTCTTACCCTCTGAGCCATCTCTCCAGCCCCAGGAGGATAACTTTTGGGAGTCAGTTCCTTCCTTGCACCATGCATGTCCCTTTGTCTGCTGAGCTACCTTGCTGACCCTGCCTTATTCTGGGAGACAGAGTCTCTTGCTGACCCTGGAGCTTGCTGGTTTAGCCAAGCTGGACAGCCACGGAGCTCCTGGGACTAGTACTGGGGACTGAAGTATGTGTCTGCATGCCTGGCTGCTATGCAGCTGCTGAAATTCAAACTCAGGCATTTTACCAACAGACTCATTGCCCCAGCCCCGGGGCTCGCTCTTTCTTCTTAATTTTTATTGTTTAAAAGATTTTATTTAGAACTGTGTGTATGTGTGAGTACATGCACACAAGTGCAGTGCCCTCAGAGCTCGGAGGTAGCAGGTCCCTAGAAGTGCAGGTGGTGAAGTCTGGTGTGAGAGCTGGGAGCCCAGTTCCTGCCCTCTGGATGAATAGCAGAGCTGCTGAGTCTTGAGTCTCTGTTCTGAGTCTCACTGTGCAGCCCTGGGTGGTCATGGCATCAGGCTCAGAGAGATCCCTGCTTCTGCCACTGTCCCGGATGCTGGGGTTAAAGTCACAGCCACCATGCCCAGTAAGGCTGTTGTTTTTAAGTTTGTGTTCACATTTGTGCTGCTGGGGGAGTAACCTGGGTTTCCCAGCAGCTAGGCCGGAGTTCACCATCAGAGCCACACTCAGCCCCGTGGACAGCCCCTAACTAGAAGAGCGCCATCTTGGTAATGACCTTGGGCACAGAACCAGGCTCTGACACCCCTGTCCTCCCTCCTCCTCCACTCCGCTCCCCTGCTCCCGGGGTCCCCAGCCCTCGCCCTTCCATGCGGGCCACTCACTGCGGCCAGCCCTCGCCCGTGGACACGGTGAAGAGCGTGAGCAGGGCCCAGAGCACGTTGTCGTAGTGGAACTCGTACTTCTTCCACTCTCGGTCTCGGGCCTTCACCTCGTTCTTCTCGTACAGGAGGTACTTGCCTCTGTCAGAGAGCTGGTTAGTCAGCAGGACGCCACCACCTCCCTAAGGCCATTTGTGCTGCCTGGAGGTGCACAGCCCTGTCCTTGTGGGAGCTGAGACCCTGGCTGGAATGTGGGTGTGGGGACACAGACTGGGCGGGGAGGCAAACACAGGGACGCCCTATTTCAGGGTTCTCACACAAGAGGCAATGGCTGCTTCTTTCAGAGCAGGAAGGAGTGAGCTTCAGACACCACCCAAGAGTCTAGGAGCCTTTTTGTATGCAGGATCTCACAATGCAGCCCAGGCTGGCTGGAATTCTGGCTCTTCCTGCCTCAGTGTCCCAAGCAGTGGAATGACAGGCCTGTGCCACTTTGCCTGGAAATATCTGAACAGGGCTGCTCAGACACTCCCGAACGAGGGACTATGGAGCCCCACTTCACCAAGTCACTGGGAGACTAAGAGAATGGCTTAACCCAGTTTGTGGGCCTAAATTCTCAAACTGTTTCTTTTATGAGATAGGGTCTCTGTGTAGCCTAGGCTTGCCTGGACCTCTTCAACCTCCCATCTCAGCTCCCAAGGTCTGTGCCTCACGCCGCACACTTCTTCCTTGTTATTACTTTTTACGCCAGGGAGTGGGCCTGCGCCTTGCCTTGTGCACACCAAGCTCATACACTAGTTTTTGAGACAAGTGCTCACTCTGTAACTCAGGCTGGTCTCACAACTCAGCCTTCTGAGTGCTGAGGACCTAGGTGTGTACCACCGTACCTGGCTTTAAAAATCCTACCCCAGATCCAAGCGGACCCAGAGTCATCCCTCTGTATCAGTGTCTGGACCGCTGACCCTGTACTTCACCCTCCCCTGCCATGGGGTCCCGGAGGCCGTGGCCCACCCACCGACAGTCTCGCTCGAACTCCTTGGACTCGTCCGTGCAGTGGAAGAACTTGCCCTTGAAGAGCTGCACAGCCACCACGGCGAAGATGAACATGAAGAGCATGTACACGATCAGGATGTTGAACACGTTCTTGAGTGAGTTCACCACGCAGTCAAACACGGCCTGCGCCAGAGGAAGAGGCAAACACGGAAGAGGCGTGAGGCTGGAAGCACGGCTGCTGCTCCCTCTGGTTCGGAGGCACCTGCGGGTTCTAGCAGCTGGCTTGAAATATTGGGGAAAAGTAGATTCCATGTGGGCATGGACCTCTCCTCACCCCGTCCCTAACAGCAGTATGGTGGCTGTGCAGAGGTGTCCTGTTCCAGGCACCGCACAACCATTTTTGGGCAGGGTCTCCTGTAGCTCAGGGTCTTAAAAGAATGACCTTGACTTTCTAATCTTCCTGCCTCCACAGTTTGAGTCCCTGGGTATGGAACCCAGTGCTTCTTGTACACTAGGCAAGCACTCTGCCAACTGAGAAATATCCCCATGTCCCGACTATTTAAGTAGTTCTGTTGCCCTGGAACTAGTGCCTTTTCACTAGGGTCTGCCCTGTCTCTGCAGTGACCCACCAAAAGAAATCCCGACCTAGGGCGGATTCTGCCAGCCAACCCCTTTGCTGCCATCTGCTGGACAAGCCTAGTAAGCACACCCATATACAAAGGCCACGGGCAGCTAGCATTTCCTTTAACCGTGTTTTGAAACAGGAATCCCCTGTGGATTCAGGCTGACCTTGAACTTGGGATTGTCTTCCCACCATGGTCTGTTTCTCAGACCATTCTGAAGCAATGTGCAACCCTTCCGTCTGCGCGCGGCCAGTCTGAGGGCCCTCTCTCCCGACCTGTCTCACCTTTAGCTTTGGCAGCCGCTTGATGGTCTTTAGAGGTCGTAGCACCCGGAGGACTCGTAGAGACTTAATGGTGTTGATGTCTTTCCCTTTGCTATTGCCACTGTTGGGGGATGTCAGGGTTGGGGAAGGGAAGAGACGGAGTGGAAGTCAGGCTGGGGAGGGGCCCACAACCCCATGTGGTCTCTCGTGCCTGCACCCAGGTCTGGGCTGAGTCTGGCACATCCCATCCCTTTCCGAAGGAAGCTCTAGTTTTGGCCTGGAAACCAGACAGCTTTGAGGAGATCCTGATCTCACGGTTTTCTGAAGACCCCGCCCTGCACTAACTTTTTCCGTTTAGGTTTCTTGAGACAGTGTCTCACTATGGAGCTGTGGCTTGCCAGGAACTACAGAGCTCCTCCTTCACCTGCCTCCCAAGTTCTGGGGCTAAAGCGTGCACCACGTACAGCCTTCCGCACCAACTCTTCCACTGCTCTTTGCCTTTTGGCCTCTGAGGCTGGTGACTGCCAGAGATCTACCCTCCTTCTGACGGAGTCGGGGTGGTGCACCTTCCTCAAGTTGAAGGACACAGTGACCAGGGGTTGGTCCTTTCAAATGCCAACATGACCTCAGCGATGACTGCTGCCTCAGTCTGCTAAGGTCCCCGCCTTTCTCTGCCAGTGGTAAAAAGTGTGGCCTGCTGAGTTTAGCCATGCAGGCCCCAAAGACACAGGGGGCTCTTAGCTACCCACAACTTGGTTTCGTAAGAGAATGATATGTCATGGGGCTACCAAGAGCTTGAGGTTAACGGACCCCCACCCTTACTCAGGGCCCAAACACACATCCTAGCGTCACATTTGTCTGCTGTCTTCACCCCAAGCCCCAGAGGGTGCTATCCCAAGTGACCACTGCTCACTGGGGCCACCTTTTACGGCAGACCCTAGCGCTCCACACATCTACTTCCTGTTTTCTCATACATACTGGTCACCATTTCATCCTACTGAGGGTCCTTCCCAAATCAGAGTTCTTAAAGAGCAAGGCAGACTTTTGGTTTGATATGCCAATGCCCTTTGCAATCTAGATCAACTCATTGACTGCTGCATGGCCCAACCTCTGGCCACAACCCCTGGATTTCTATAATTTTTTTCCTTTTTCTGCTTTAGGAGAGAAGGCCTTAATGTGGAGTCCTCAATCACACAACATAGGCCAGGTTGTCTTTGAATTCAGAGATCTTCCTGTTTTTGTTTTCCCTCATGAAGGCTGGGTTAAAAGGTGCACATCATCATGCCCAGCCAAAAACTTTTTTGTTTGTTTTCCGAGACAGGGTTTCTCTGTGTAGCTCTGGCTGTCCTGGAGCTTACTCTGTAGACCAGGCTAACCTTGAGCTCAGACATCCACCTATCTCTGTCTCCTGACTGCTGGGATTAAAGGTGTGTACCACCAGTACCCGGCAGTCAAAAAACCTTTTAAATTAGATTTATTTATCTTGCGGGCAAATGCGTATCACAGCATGTGTGGACAACATTCAGGAGTTGGTTCTCCCCTTTACCACATAGATCCCGTAGAACTCAGGTTGTCAGGCTTGGTGGCAAGTGTCTACTAGTTTAGACATCTCACCAGCTCTTTTTTTTTCATTTCCTTGAGACAAAGTTTCACCATGTAGCCCATGTTGCCTTAAGATCCCGTGATGTCATGCTCCTGAGTGCTGGGATTATGGGTGTGCGCCATCTGGCTTTGCACACTGACCACCCAGCAATGCTCACCTCCCTTTCCTGATGCCTCCCTCGACAGCTCTGGGCTCCAGTCAGCCTCTGGTGCTATTTCTGGAGAGATCTATGTCAGGCTTAGACAAGGGCTGTGTTTAATAGGAAACCCTCAGAGGCCCAACTTGTGATGAATTCTTCTGTGTTTTCTCTTTAATCTTGGCTGTTGTCCCAGCTACTGACTCACAATTGGTGTGAGGTCTCAGGACACTGGAGTGGACCAAGGCTGAAGTCCCAGAGCAAACATGTTCATACTGGTTACTGCCCAAGTCGTGGGCAGAGCTGCCTAGCACCAGCACCATTTCCTGGTATGGTGAGGAAAGCTGGTTATAGCTGTGTGTGTGTGTGTGTGTGTGTGCGCTGCTGTGCAGCCCTCTCGGTCAATGTGTTTCTTGCCTTGGTGTGTGTGCATATGTGTCTGTGTAGATGTGTGCATGTGTCTGTGTAGATGCATGTGTCTGTGCAGATGTGTGCATGTGTCTGTGTAGATGCATGTGTCTGTGCAGATGTGTGCATGTGTAGATGTGTGCATGTGTCTGTGCAGATGTGTGCATGTGCAGATGTGTGCATGTGTCTGTGTAGATGCGTGCATGTGTAGATGCATGTGTCTGTGTAGATGCGTGCATGTGTCTGTGTAGATGTGTGCATGTGTAGATGCATGTGTCTGTGTAGATGGGTGTCTGTGTAGATGCGTGCATGTGTCTGTGCAGATGCATGTGTCTGTGTAGATGCATGTGTCTGTGTAGATGCATGCATATGTCTGTGTAGATGCATGTGTCTGTGTAGATGTGTGTCTGTGTAGATGCGTGCATGTGTCTGTGTAGATGCATGTGTCTGTGTAGATGGGTGTCTGTGTAGATGCGTGCATGTGTCTGTGTAGATGTGTGTCTGTGCAGATGTGTGCATGTGTCTGTGTAGATGCATGTGTCTGTGCAGATGCGTGCATGTGTCTGTGTAGATGTGTGTCTGTGTTGATGCGTGCATGTGTCTGTGTAGATGTGTGTCTGTGTAGATGTGTGTCTGTGTAGATGTGTGTCTCTGCAGATGTGTGCATGTGTAGATGCGTGCATGTGTCTGTGTAGATGTGTGCATGTGTAGATGCATGTGTCTGTGTAGATGCATGTGTCTGTGTAGATGCATGTGTCTGTGTAGATGCATGTGTCTGTGCAGATGTGTGCATGTGTCTGTGTAGATGCATGTGTCTGTGTAGATGTGTGCATGTGTCTGTGTAGATGCATGTGTCTGTGTAGATGCATGTGTCTGTGTAGATGCATGTGTCTGTGTAGATGCATGTGTCTGTGTAGATGCATGTGTCTGTGTAGATGCATGTGTCTGTGTAGATATGTGCATGTGTCTGTGTAGATGTGTTCATGTGTCTGTGTATGTATGCAGGTGGAGGCAAGTCAACTTCAGGTGACGTTCTCCAGGTGTCACCACTTATCTTTTGAAGCAGAATCTCGTCCTGGCCAGCAAGGGATCCCCAGGGATCTGCCTCTCCACCCCATTCTGCATTTATATATGCATGCCACCATGTCAGGCTTTCCATGGGTTCTAGAGACTGAACCCGGGTCCTCATGTTTGCATGACAAACCCTTAACTAAGGTGTCTTTTTTGTGTTTTGAGAAAGAATCTGTCTATGCATCCCTGGCTGGTCTAGAACTATGCAGATCAGGCAGGCCTCCAACTCAAGAGATCCACCTGCCTCTGCCTCCTGAGTGCTGGGATTAAGCGTGCGCCACCACCACCCAGTCCTGATATTTCCTCATATATATTTTTGTCCACTGATCAGTGTTTATTTCTAACTGCTTGTTACGTATTAAAGAACACTGACTTCTATATATATCTTACTGTTTTTGAGGCAGGGACACATTATGTAAGTCAGGCAAACCTGAACCTCTAAGATTCTCCTGCCTCAGTCCCTAAGGGTTAGGTGTGCCCTACCACAGTGGGCTAGAAAGATGTGCTAGGTAGAGGCTCCTCAGTGTTATGGCCACCTCCTCTCTGGAAAGCCCACTTCCCACACCTCAGCTGCTCTGGTGACTCTTCTCCCCCGCTGTTTGGCCCTGCTGACATCACATGTGAGGAAGAACATGTCTTGCCCCTTCTGTTCTGGGTAAGAGCTAGTGGGTCACAGTGGCAGGTGAGGCTGTGAGTCCTTATGACTCCTCTGCCCCCTGGGGAGCAGGCTCTGGTCATGGTAAGCAACAGGACACCAGCAAGAACAAAGGCCACAGAAAAAGAAGGCCAGAACCAACATGGCTGCGAACGGGGCACGGTAGACAAGACAGAATAGGAGAGAGAGAAAGAGAGAGAGAGAGAGGCACTTTACCGTGTACTGCTCCTGGTGAGGTGGCGTCGGAAGGAGAGACAAATCGTGAGTGGCCTCAGAGAGAACACAGGACACGCACAGACATGGGCACTGGGCTCTGGGATCCCAGGGACCAGGGGACCAGCCCCTCCTTCAGTCTCTGCACTGGGCAGGACATGGCCCTGACAGCAGCTCACAAAGGCAAATTTCCAAGGAGTAAGGCAGCCCTGGGGCTGCCTACTACCCTGGGTGAACACGCCACTCAGTCACTGCCAAGAGCAGGGTCGCTTCCTACAGCGGTCCTGGCACGGGGACTCAGCTTGCTGTAGGTGAGTTTCATGGGGAGGGAACAGAGGCTTGAATGGCGCTTTGACTGCCAACAAGCTTCATCTGGAAAATGGCCTTGTCTTCATGATGCTTCAGTATCAGTAGCCTCCACCTTGACTTACACTGACTCGTCAAGATGTAGCCCAGGCTGGCCTGAACGACTGATCTTCCTGTCTCCAACTTCTAAGTAGCTGGGATGTAGACGTGTGTCACTCTGGTGGGTGGAACTTTCTGGAAGGAGAGTTGCTGCTGATGGAATCAAGGGCCTCACACATGCTAGGTCAGAGTTCTACTGATGAGCTGCCCCCAGCCCCTCACTGGGGGATTCTACCTCTGAGCCACTCCTTGAGACTTCTCTTTACTTTTCATTTTGAGATAGGGTCTTGCTAAATTTATTGGCAGTCCTTGACATTGTGGTCCTCCTGCCTCAGTCTCCTGAGGAGCTGAGATTCTAGGCATCATGTTATACCCAACAATTTTCTTTTTTCAACCCTGAATGGCTTAATGTCTACAAATATCTCTACTGAGCCTTCCCTCAGGTCCAGCTTAGGGGTCAGCCCTGCCTGTGAGTCTACAGCCCTTCCCCACTGTCGTTAGCAATGCTTCCAATGGCACTGGCACACCGGGCCAACACTCCCTGAGCTCCAGCCCCGTGGCCTTCCCCTATTGTGTATGTGTTGCTGAGTCTTGTGTCCCTGCATTTACCTGCAGAAGGATGGCACCACTGTGCCCATTTTCCAGATGAGAAAGCTAAGCAGACTGAGAGTCAAACCCACATGCCTGCATCTTGAGCTTGAATCTGCCTTCCTTGGGGACAGGGCTGTTTTAAGGTGCTGCAGGAGATCCCCTCGGGGACAGGGCTATTGAGGGTGTTGCTGGAGGGCCTCTTCTTTAGTTGTTGGGAGTGTGGCTTTGAGGGTGCAGTAGGAGCTGGATCAAGCTACACTCTGGCAGCTATGCCAGAGTCTGCCAGCAGCTGAAGACCTGCTCTGGAGGAGGGGCGGTGGTGCCAGATGGACTCTTGGCAGTGAGGGTGGGATCATGATCTAGCTAGCAGCTGCTGTGAGATGTCAGCTAGCTGCTCCAAAGCATCGGCACTGAGCGTGACGTCCCTCATGGTGAGAGCTTGTGGGATGGCTCGTTAGTGATGGAGCATGGAAGATGGACATGGTTAGTGGACGGAGAGCACATGTATGCACACCCACACCTATGCAACACTGACCACACACACAGATCTGGGTGAGGAGAGGAGGGGGGATCAGCACATCCCTGGGAGAGCACAGGCAGACAATTAGAGTCCTTGCCTCAATCCCCCTTATCCAAGAAGGGAGCAGCCTCCCTCCTTCTCATTCCTGCTCCTCGGCCTCTCAGACTTTCCAGGGAAGGAAGGACCCAGTGGGACAGGTTGCTGGCCTAGATTCCATTCTCCACACCCCTCGCCTCAGCCTCAGTTTCTCGTGTGGAATGGGGATCACTACTCTGGTGTGCCAGCGTCACAGGTGACACACAAGGCGCTTCCTCTCATTCAAGCCATTACAACCTGCTGCATGGGGAAACTGAGGCACCGAGAGTCTGCCAGACTTAGGGAACTTTTTCTTCTTCACTGAGACATCTGTGCTTCATGGCCCAGGCTGGCTTTAGATCAGCAATCCTCCTGCTTCGACCTCACATTTGCCACCACACCCAGACAGAGGTACTGCTTACTCCTATTGTGGTTTTCCACCTTGTCTATGAGCAGACAGGCTCATGGGATAGACAAAGGAAAGGAAAGGAAAACAGCAAGCTGCTGCTCCACCATGACAACAAGGAGACACCAAACAAAGACTCACAAGTTGAAACACCTCAGGTACAAGGGAGCAGAGCCTGCTGCTGGGGACTGGGGGACAAGGAGGTTCTGAAACATCTTTTGGGAAGCAAGCAGCAACTGGCAATTGCTTTTGCTGTTGGGTATGCAGGAGTGACCTAAACAAGGTGCTGGCCAGCTTGCATGGAGCTGTAGTCCTGTCTTCAGTGTGAAGTGGCAGGGCCAAGTGGATTCTTGGTAGTGAGTAGGGGAATGGTAGGGATCAAGGTGTCTCCTCTCCTGCCTCATAGTAAGATCCACAATTCCAAGTTCTTCCAAAATTCCAAGAGAATCCGTGGCCCATGCTTTCAATGCCTGTTTCTGTTAGAACTGCCAGCCTGCACAGGCACATGGTTGTCCCTGGTCTGACCTTCTCTTACGGAGGAATTATAGGAACACAGCACAGCACTATGTTTGCACCGAATTCATGGGAACATAGAAGTCTGATTCTATAGCTGGGAGCATGGCTCAGGGCTCAGCACAAAGGCCCCTGGTTCCACCCTCTGGCTCCATCCTCAGGACCAGAAAAAAAGAAAATAAGGGAAGAGAAGAGAATACAGGGAGGACAGGGAGAGAATCAGAAGAGTGGATAAAAGGAAAGAGAGCTGGGAGTCAGGCCGAGTTAGGCCTGCTGGGTATGGAAATGCTGATTCATGTCCACCACAACCACAGATTGCTGTGCTCCAGGGGGCAGCCTGGGAGGTCCTACTGTAGCCCTTCACCTGGAAATGGGTAACAGTTGGGGCCCTCTGTCATGAAATCGACACTTAGTGCCAGGGGAGGGAGCAGGCTGAGAGGCCATGCCTAATGAGAGGCAGCCAGTCAGACAGCCCAAAGAAACCCTCAGGTCTCTGTGCCGGGGGTTGGGGGGTCAGAGACCTTGTAAGACCATTCCTTCTGGGACTGACCTATGTGATAAGCACAGTTTTGGTTTCCAAGATGGATTTCTGGATGAGAAGCAAGTTAGGTCTCTCCCTGATAGGCCTGCTGCCAGGATCTCAGGCTCCCTCTCCAATTAGACCTAACCTGAGCTCCATCTCAGGCTGGACACCACCTGGAATGGCTATCTAGAAACTTGGATGGCAGAGACACCATTGAGAACGGCCACTGAGACACTAGATACCATATCAAGTGGATGCATAGACCTCTGGGGACACTGAGATGACCATTCTGCACTTACGCACCATCTTGGAATGATGGCGAGATTTCAGGTAACATGTGGGAATTGCTTTTGACCCCTTGAGCATGTTTGAGATGGCTTCCTAGAACTCAGCTGCCATCTTGAAATGGTTTTCAACAACCTGGACTCCATTTTGGAATGGCTGCCCAGACCTAAGGGGTCATTTTGGAATGGCTATCTAGAACCTGGGTACCATCTTGGAGTGCACCACCATCACCAGGCCTGGGTACCAACTTGCAATGGCCCCTAAACCCTAGAACGTCACCTTGGGAAGACGGTAAGAATTTACAGTCATCTTAGAATGGCTGTCCTGTTCTCTAGCACCACCACAAAGTGGGTGCTAGCTTGGAACGGTAACTCAGAACTTGGGTTCATCTTAAAATGGTTGCTATTTTAAAATGGTCACTCAGAAATTAGGAGCCATATTTGAAACTGCCACCTATCACCAGGGTGCCATTGTGGAGTGGTGCAATAGTATATAACCTTGCTGAGGGAAGGGCATCCTAGGAGCTTTGGGAGGACAGAGACACATAGAAGTTGGCCACCAGGTGTATGGTGAGGAGCCTTGGGGAACAGGTGGGATGGGATCTCATGCACACTTGCTTTCTGATTGTCTTTTCAGGGGCACCCCAAAGAGACAACATGTAGGGGGGTTGTGGGTAGGGAGATGAGATGTCCCCAGAGGCAGGAATACCAGAAGCAGCACAGCAAGAGGCCACCTCCTTGCTGTGGGAGGAGTGGAAGGTGGCTCTGGTCCCTTCCTTCCTTCCTTCCTTAATGGTGATGGCATGCACAAAGCCAGTTGCAGCGCCACTGGGTATACCCTGCCCACCCCCCACCACCATTGGCCCACAGCTCTCATTCCCATATCAGAACTCCGGAATACGACCCACATCTGACAGTGGGACTCAGACTTGGGGTGGGGAGCCTTGCATGGAGACTTACGTGAAGGCAAAGGCCACCAGGGCCCCACTGACCACTATGAAGTCTAGAATGTTCCAGAGGTCACGGAAGTAGGCCCCCTGATGCAAGACAAGGCCCAGGTCGATCATCTAGAGGGAGAGAAGAGTTTGTTCAGAGCCCCCAACCCTTCAGTAGGATAACACCCTCCTGGGATGACAGGTGGTCCTTCTGAGGAAAGGGAGCCTGACCTGACTCTGAAGCCCTCAAGAACAAGCATCAGAGTGTGCTCTGCCTGAACCCCGCAGGAGATCATGCAGGAAGCCTTGTACACTGTATTTGGAGCCTCCCAAGACTCTGTCTACCTCTTACTTCTGCTGTGATCTGTGGTTCCTGCCCTCGTCATGGCCTACTTGGTCCCTGACAATCCCCTCATCTGTCATCTGAGGGTGCTTGAGAGCGCTCATGCAGAGTCCCAGAGCTCTCCACAGCTCTCACTTCCTTTGATGTGTACACTAAAGTCCTTCCCTGCCCTCCCCACTCCTCCCTCCCTCTCTCCACCACTCTGTCTGGTGAATTCCCCTCACACACACTCAGCACATCTATTCTTGGATTGAGCTTTTTTCTTCTCAAAGGGTCTGTGGATGTCCCCAGTACTGTTCTTACCTTGATCACCATCTCAAAGGTAAACACGCCTGTGAAAACATAGTCAAAATACCGCAGCACCTGCACGGACAAAAAAAGGCCAAGGAACCCAATCACAGGCTTGCTCAACTCCTAGTAAGTCTACCAGTTGCCCACTGGGGTGTGGGAACACTGAAAATTCCCCAGAAGCACAGCTTCCACCCAGGAGCCACTCCCAGGCAGGTTGTGAACCAAAGTGTCCAGCAGATGGCGGCAAATCCTACCGATTTACCCTGCTGAGGGCTGGTCACCAAGAGTGCCTGTTTCAAGTACTCCAAGCAGCCAGTGGACTGAGAGGGCCTTGGAAGAGTCCATTCCACCGTGGGGTGACTGTCCTTGAGGTGATGGGGTAGACGGGCCAGTGTCCACACTCAGGGCTTTCCTGTTTCCAGGAGTATCTTCTAAATGCTGGGGCCACCTGGCCATCTGGCTCTCTTTCACTTTGAGGGCACCACTCAGTCTGGGATGATGGACCCTCCCCTAGCTCTCTCCACCATCCTGCCCAGAGTTGGGCTCTAGTTGTTTCTGTCTGGATTAGCAAAAATGGCCTCTGTCCCTGCTTCTAGCTCCAGGAACCACATAGAACACCTTGGGTGGTGTGTGGTGGGGAGGCAGGAGCTACAGGTTCAAGGGCTGATAATTACTGAACATGACCAGCAGAGGGTGCTTATGACCGGGACTCACGTTGTTGCGGGGCGCGTTGGGCTGCACAGGATCCTCGGCGGCCAGCGCTATGCTGCTCATGGCAATGACCATGAGGATGCACATCTCGAAGTAGCGTAGGTTCAGGATGTAATGGCACAGCCGGCGAAGGCTGTGGGCGGAGCAGGGAGCCACTCAGATTGCAGGCTCTTGGGCCCTTCCCCTCAGCTCACCAACAGGTCCAATTCCATTGCCCCACCCAGACCATCTGTCAAGGACTCTCCACGGGGCGCTGGGTGGGTCCCATAGTTCAGTGCAGCTGGAAACCCTCAGCTACCTGAGACAGTCATGTTGCCTGTGGCAGGGTTCCTACCCTCCAAACAACTGAACTACTTGGTTCTGAAGCTAGTGGAATCACTACTACTAATGATTCTGCAGGACATAGAAAGACTTCACTTTTATTTATTTATTTATTTATTTATTTATTTATTATTTATCTGTGTGGGGATGGTAGCAGTGCCAAGGCTTGCCTGTACAGAGCAAAGGACAATTTGTGAGAGTTGATTCTGTGGGTCCTGGGAACTGAACTCAGGTTGGCAGGCTTCGCAGCCTATCTATCCACGGAGCCGTTTCAAGGCTAGGTTTTCCATGTGTGAAATATTCTAGTGTCTAAAAAAAGAAACTGAGAGTAGTGTCTCCTGTCAGTAATATGAGCCAGGGAGGATGTGGCTGAGGAATCACTAAGAGTTCAGGACATCTGAACTATGTTATGAGTTCAGGGCCAGTGTGGTCACAGAGTCAGATCTGGTCTGAAAACAAATTACACACACTCAACACACACACACACAGGACAAAATACACACATCAGCAAATCGCACACACTAAAAACAAGACACACACACACACACACACACACACACACAAATACAACATTAACAATACATGTGCAAAACAAAACAAAAGACAAGGGCCAGTGAGCTGTAAAGGTGCTCTCCCTGCTAACCTGTGCCCAGTGTCCAATCCCTGGGACCCACATGGAGATGGAAGGAGAACAATGACTCCAGGGTCTCCTGGCCTCCACACAGGAGCCATGGCAAACACACACACACACACACATACACACACACACACACACACACACACACCCCAATGATAAATAAAATTAAAAACAAAACTCAAAACAAATCCCATCACTTCCACCACGAGCAGAAAACTTGAGCTGCGGCTTAGCTGGCGGAGTGCTTGCCTAGCACGCACAAAGCCTAATCCACCCCCAGGACCACCCAAACAAGAAAACCTGTGCTGTTAGAAGCAGCCTGTTCTGGCTCAAGCCTCACCCGCTTTCACTGCACCAATGCTAAGAGGCTGTTCTGTAAATTTATAAAGCACTTGAACAATACTTGACAGTAAGTGCCACTTAGACATTTGTTTAGTAAAGGAGAAAACTGAACTTTAGAAAAAAGCTGACATGCAAGGGTCCAGAGTCCACATCTGTGTGGCGCAATGGTTATTCACAGAATTCAGAGGCACGACTGCCACACAGGTCGTGCAGGTCGTGGACAGCACAAGGCAGCAATTCCTAAAGGACACCTGTCCCAGCAGGGCACAGGTCGGTATTACGGCAGTGGTTTCCATCTCACGGCAGGAAGGGGTCTTTTCCAGGATAGTATGTTATGACAAGTTTTTATCTCCTATGAGGTAAGCAAGAGGGACTACTGAGGGCCTCAAGACTCAAGATGGTGCTGAAGAGAATAATCTTCCACTGCTTCCCCGCCCACCCGGGGAGCCTGGCCAGGCCTCTGCTCCCATACTCACGGGTTGGTGGTGGAGAGGATGAACATGGAGCTGTAGGGCGGCATGGGTTTTGGGCCGTCCTCCCCGGGGTCTGCCTCCTCTTCCTCCTTCTTCTCTTCCTCCTTCTTTGGCAGTGGGTCTGGGTTAGCATTTTTGTTTACTGTTGGAACAAGGATAAACATGGGTTCCTCCTTACCCACAAAGCTCTGGACTCCTGGTCATTCCTGGAGCCAATGCTAAGCATAGGACACTGGGGAAAGAGCTTCCTGTGCACCAGGTGTCACCCGACCCTGTGGGCTTGGTGCCTGTGCCCGCCACCTGACAAGAGAAGGGAATCTGGGCACAGGGAAGTAAAGTGGTTAGTCCAAGGTCACACAGCTGCCGGTGAACTGGCCCTAGAATATCAGCTCCCACTCTACAGAGCAATGGTGCCTCCGTTCCCTTAGATTTTCTGATGTGACTAGGACCTGCATGGGGCAGCTGCCCACAGAGTAGAGAACTCAGACCCTGTGAGAACACCCAGTTCTGACTGCAGGCTCCACAGCCCTGTGTGGTTGTTTGTGGACAAGCTGAACCTCCCCGGGGGTCTGTTTCTTCATCCGAAAACTAGTAAAATTAGTTTATTATCAAGACACACCACAGGGAAGTCAGCTGTGGTGGCACACACCTGTAATTCTGCCACCACAGGGAAAGAGAGACAGGAGGGTCACTTCTAGCTTAGGCTTGGGCTACACAGTGAGATGCTACCTCAAAACACAGCAACCCCAAGCCCAAAACTGACTCACTCCTCACAGGAATGTACGCAGTTGTCTTTAGGGGCCGGAGCCCCAGGTGACAGAGGAGTGAGGCCGATCCAAATGGGCCACACTGGTGCGTGAGCCATCTGGTCACCAGGAGAGAGAAGAGCATGCAAAGGCTCCTAAGTGTGTGCTGCAGCGACAGCGGTTCCGAGAGACATAGACACTGGGATAAACAGACATTATCCTTGTTAACAGACATGGGGTCCTGGCTGGCCTTAAGGCCACTGCATAGTTAAGGGTGGCCTTGAACTTGTGAACTTCCTACCCCCACCCACCATTACTGTAGGCTGTCTGTGGTGCTGGAGTGTCTAGGCAAGCACTCTACCAACCGGGCCACTCCCCCAGCTCCTTCCTTGCTCACTGTGCCACTAGACCATTTACAATGATGATGCTTCCAGCTGCGCTGTCCCCAGGCCCCCAGTTTCCACTTGGGGATTCCTTTCTCCCCTGTGGTAGTGTGGGCTCTGTGGAGGGAAGGTGGGGTGTGGAGCATGGCCACAGGCCAAGTCCACTGAGGGCTGCACACAGGGTCTAGTGTTTCTTCCTCCCAAGACTGTGAGCAGGAACTGTGGAGAAAACGGCCCAGCAACCCTGCAACTCCTCACCTTGGACCACAGTGTGGTTGAGGGGCGGGCAGGCTGGGGGGATCTCCACCGCCATGTGCTCGGGTTTCCTGGCAGTCTTCGCTGAGTTGGGCTGAGTGCTGCTGGGGTTGGTGACGATAAGGCTGTTCTCGGGGGTCTTGGGGGGGCCAGGGTTGGACGGGTTGCCCGGGTTGTTGGGCATCCTGCGGCTGGCAGCGTTCTGGGGGTTGGTGGCCAAGGTGGGACCAGGGTTGGTGCTGTTCCCGATCTTGGTGGGGCTTGGGGGAAGGCCACTGTGGCCCAGGCTGTCGTGGGGACTGACAGTCTCCCCGGTGGCCAACTTGTTATTCTTCATGTTGTCAAGGTCCTCGGCCAGTGGCAAGTCCTGGCGGCCCAGGTCCTGCTGGATTGGCCTGGTGGTGGACAGGTTGGGACCAGACATGGGGACCCCGGAGCCCTGGTTCTCTCTAAGGAGAGGATCAAAGTGGAAGAGTGCAGAACTGGTTAGGATCGGCACTGCAGCTGCTGGGACCAATACCCAGGCCCACAGCACGGCCCAGGACAGTCTGCTGCACTACCCAGCTCATGTGAGGCCCTGAGCGCCATCCACCCCGAAAGGAAAGAAAAAGCAATCATTTCCTGATTCTACACTTCACAGAGCGCTGCACAGCTCCAGGCAGGTCAAATGGTTATGAACTCTCGTGAACTTTCTGTATGCTGAGGAGGAGCTCAGGGCCTCACACAGGCTGTGGTAACCCTCTAACGCTGAGACACACCCACACCCCTCACTGGGGGATTCTAGGCAGGGGCTCTACCTCTGACTCACACCCCCGGTTCTACTGGGGAAGTTTTGCTAGCCCAGTGTGCAAAGCCCAAGTATAAATTTCCAGTTAACAGTTTGCTTTTTGAGATAGGATTTCTCTGTATAGCCATGGATGTCATGGAACTCACTCTGTAGACCAGGCTGGCCTTAAACTCCCAGAGAACCACCTGTTTCTGCCTCCTGAGTGCTGGGATTAAACGTGTGCACCACCATACCCAGCTCAATTTCCAGTTATTTTTAATCCTTAAACATCTTTAAGGAAGATTCAGAGGATACACAAAACTGAAGTTGGGCCCTGTCCCAGTGTCCAAGACAGGTGTTCTCCCTTGTGGTACCCTGCTGAGACCTAGAGACTGTTCTAGACCATAAAACAGCACCCTTCACTGCCTGCTTCCTGACTGTCCCTCCTCTGCACACTTCCTGACTGACCTCCTCTGCACGCTTCCTGATACAGTTCCTGACTGCCCCCAATACTTCATGCATTACAGCACCTGAAATGGATAACAAGATCGGCTCCATTTAACAGAGTAGGAAACTGAGGCAGAGGGGAAGACATTTGTCCCTCATGAACCAGCTCAGACGGGACTGAGCTGGAATCTGGTCCTATCTAGAAACCTTTAGCTCCAGCGTCACTCAGCAAAGTAAACAGGTGGTGAACAAAGTGGAGGTGTTGAGGTGTGTGTTAAAGAATCAGAATTCTATGCTATACAGGGAGAGTGAGCCAGGAAACCCACAACTGCAGTAATCCTCCTTGTTCCAGTGGGGAGTGGTTTGCCATGGTGACAGATGCAGCTGGAACTAGGCTGCTAACAGCTGACCCCGACTGGTCAGGACTAGGAGTGCAGATGTTCGGGAGCTCACAGGTTTCTACCAGGAGTCTAGAGCTTGGGCCTCACTTGGACCCGTGGGGGAACCTGAGTTTGGCAACTACTGAAGGTACAGGAATGGTGTTCTGGTGCACGCTTCAGAGGGAAAGAGAAATGGGACTAGGGATAAGCAGAACAGGAAAAATGACACTGCCAACATCCCAACAATGAAACACATGGGCAGGGCTCTGGGACAGGCCAGAGGACAGCCTATGGGAAGGAAAAGGCCATGCAGATCACAGGAGCACCTAGCTCTCTAAAACAGAATCAAAATTTGAATCAGCCCCCACCTCCCACCCTCAAGACAGGGTTTCTCTGTGTTGCACTGGCTGTCCTGGAATTTGCTCTATAGACCAGGCTGGCCTTAAACTCACAGAGATCTGTGGCCTCTGTCCCCTATGTGCTGGAATTAAAGGCGTGGGCCACCATGCCTGGCTGAGAATCAATATCTTTTAAACAGTTTTACTCAGTGGTCTAGGTTAGCTCCAAACTTATGGCAGTCCTCTTGCCTCAGCTTTCTGGGTGCAGGTTTCTAGGCATGCACCACCATACCCAGTTCTAAGGTTTTTGATGTCTACCTCGGAGAGAGCCTCAGTATTACTAATAATATGGTATGGACACTCTGAGTGCTCACACGATGCTAAAACATGCCTTTTGTTGTTTATTTTGAGACAAGGTTTCTTTAGGTATCCCTGGCTGGCCTAGAACTTTCTAATATAGACCAGACTGGTCCTGAACCCACAAAGATCCACCTACTTCTGTCTCCTGAGTGCTGGGAGTGCACCATAATGCCTAGCGAACTGATATATTTGTATGGAGGTTCACCTTTCCACACTACAGATTCTGCATCTGGGGACTGAACTGACGGACCAGTTAGTGCCTGTGCGTCTGTGTGCCACCTGAGAATCTGAGAGCCATGAGAGAGCATCAGATCCCGTGGAACTGGAGTTACAGAAGGTGGTGAATCTCCATGTGGGGTGTTGGGGACTGAACCTGAGTCTTCCATGCAAGCAGAAAGTGATCCTAAGCGCTGAGCTCTCTCTCCAGACCCAAGACTGAAAATATCTTGAAAACAACAAAAACAAAACTGATACAGACTTTCCCCTCACCTCTTTCCTAAAGAATACAGAATATATAGCTGGGTAGTGGTGCACGCCTTTAATCCCAGCAACCTCTGAGTTCAAGGCCAGCCAGGTCTACAGAGTGAGTTCCAGGACAGTCAGGGCTACACAGAGAAACCCTGTGTCAAAGAAGAAAATACAGAATATATCAATGATCTTACCCAGCACTGGTCCCTGCATGCCGCAACAAGAATGTGCTCACTGGGGCAACAGGGGCATTGCTGGTGTAGGGGTGACCACTGCTTACTGACTGAATTTGAGGGCTGTTCCACAGTAGAGAATTCATGCCTAGTACTGTAAGCCTGGTGAATGTGGAGGTCATAGGCTCTAGAAGGGAACCTACAGTTGTTATTTTGTTAAATGGCCACATCGTCAATCTGCTTTCTAAATTTTGTTGAAAATAGAGTCTAATAGCTGCCCATAGAGCACTTGCACTGCATCAGAAATTCCAAGTTACCTGGAGATGATCTGAATGAAGCCCACAGAGGATGAGTCTGGGTTCCACGTCGCTACTACGCTGTTTTATAGATGGAGCCCAAACCTGTAGATTTTGGTATCCCAGAGGGCCTCCGAATGACCCCTAAAGACATCTAAAAATGGCCAAACAGAACTGCTACTAATTCTATAATTCCATCATGCTGACATTTACTGAGTACTTGTTGGCTCAGTATCTCTCAACACAGTTCATGTGTCTGTTTAAACCTGTACGTTTTACCCTACTGTTCACCCCATCTGAAGAAATGGGAACCAGAAAAGTAAAGTGATGTATTGAAAGTCACACAGCCAGGCAGGGATGGGCAGGCGTATTGAGAGTCCCTGTACTGCAGCCCCAGGTTCTTTCGACATTTAGAGACTTTCAAAAACTCCTCCTGCAGGGATAGCGTGCAGCTCATTTAATAAGGGTGCTTGCCTAGTGTGGTGAACAAAGCCTTGGGTTCTATCACCAGCACCAAATAAACCTTGATGTGGCAGTATATGTCTGTAATCCCAGCAAGCAGGAGGACCAGTTACAGTGAGGTCCTATCTCAGAACAACAGAAAACCCTCCTCCTGGAACATTTTTAGGGTCAGCCATTCTGTCCTCATCACTCTGTCTCTTTTGGTACAGCAGCATCAGACACAATACAGGGACAAAGCCCCTCCTCACATCTTTGGTTCCTCCTTACCCTCTTAAGGGACCCAGAGTCCTACTAACCCATCTCTGGCCCTTTGCCCCCTTTCCTCATATCCTGTAAGTTGGCTGTCCTTTGAGTGATTCCAGGACCTTAACAAGTACCGTTCTTACTCGAAATGCTCCATTTTTCTCTAGCTGCTCTTCTTGTGGTCTGGCCCATCTTGGTCATGTTTCTCAGAATGTCTCTGCTATGGTTTTAATGTGTTTGCTCCATCTACTGAGAAACCTAATCCCTAAATTTGTCTGATGATGGTATTTGGAGGTAAGTGGGGGCTAGATAAGGTCTCAAGGGCAGGGTCCCCATGATGGATGAGTGGCACTCTGAGAGAAGGAAGAGACCAGAACAGGCATGATGGCCCTGGGTCACCACGGGAGTCCCTTATCATGTTTGGCTGCAGCAACAAGCCCTCAGAGTGCTGGTGTGCCATGTGACTCTGCAGCCTCCAGAACAGGAAGCTGGATAAACTTCCACTCTTGCTAAATGAGTAACCAACCGTAGGCATTTGGTTATAGCAGTGTAAATGGATAAACCCAACTCTGTAGGCCCCTACCACCTGCAGCTACTGGCTGGAGTTCAGTCTGGGCTAGAATACAGCTGACCCTTCTCACACTTCACTGAGCAGAGGGAAACACCCAGGAGAGAAAACTCTAGGGAAAGAATGATTAGGAACAATGGTGTTTAAGGGAGCACCGTGCAGACAGAGGTAGTGATACAACCGAGGGGTGCTGTGGGCACTAGGAGTGGGAAGGAAGAGTGCGAGTCAGTACCCATGACTAGGACCAGCCCTCCAGAAGGAGTCTTCCCTCCTTCTCCTCACCCAGTCCTCTCACCTCTCATCCCCCCCCTCTGATACAGGATTTCCCTGTGTATTCCAGGCTGACCTGAACTTGTGACCCGCCCCCCCCCACCTTCCTGGTAGTGATTTTTGTCTACAGACCCTTGTCTAAACTCATTTGGTTGAGAACCCCACTACTCAGTATGCGGTCCTGGGACCTGCACTGGGCTCCTCTTGTCAGGAACATAGTCTCATGGCTTCATTGAAGCCCGAGTCCCACCCAGTCATGAGCTGTGTCACACAGGCTAGTAAGACACCTGACACCTCAGGACCCACACAGCAGAAGAGAAATGCCCCTTTCCCATAGGCTGGGGTCAGATTTTGTACACCCTTCAAGAATCCAGTGTGATGCTCTCATAGCAATATGAAGAAGTATCAAGAGGACATTAAATTATTATTATTATGGATGTAGCACAGGGTAGTCTCAAACTCACTATGTAGCCACAGCTGGCCTTGAAGTCCAGATCCTCCTGTCCCACTTCCCAAGTACTGGGATCACTGGAATGACACCACACTTGACTTGAGGACAGTATTTTATAACAGATGTCGCTATCAACTCAGAAGTCCCTGGGCTCTCTACAGAGAGTCCCTTTATGGTCTTCCGTGAAACATTACAAAATGTTACGAGAAAGATAAGAAAAATCAGCTACTGGTGGGGTGCTGTCTGAGAGATCAGATCTCCCCTCCCCCATCAAGTAAGCAAAGGACTGGCAAAATAACAGTCGCAGACGCTTCACACACATTAGTGCCCATGTGAGCCCCTGGCAGGGGTGACTGATTTAATTCTAGCAACGACTTGGTCATTTCTGGGGAGTTCGATCATCAGGTGAGAACATTGATGCCAAGAACTTCACCGGGTGGTGGTGGCGCACGCCTTTAATCCCAGCACTAGGGGGGGCAGAGGCAGGCAGATCTCTGTGAGTTCGAGACCAGCCTGGTCTACAAGAGCTAGTTCCAGGACAGGCTCCAAAGCTACAGAAACCCTGTCTCGAAAAACGAAAAAAGAACACACTAATTCAAGAGTAAACAGCAAGTAATGAAAAAGCTACACGAATCTGGTGGAGACTATGGGCTCTCCCTAGGGCCTGTGTAAAGCGCACAATGCCTTAGTCCTCTAGCCGTTTTGGAAGCCAAGACGGCAGGACCCTAGACTTTTTATATATAATGCTGGGATGGGATGTAGTTCAGTAGTAGAGTCCCTGCCTAGAATCCTGCAGTAAAGGACTGAGGGCGTGACTCAGCAGTAGGGGGCCGGCCTAGAGTCCTCCAGTGAGGAGCTGGGGTATAGCTCAGTGATAGAATGCTAGCCTAGAATTTCCCTGTGACAGGCTGGCTCTGCTGTAGAGTGCAACCTAAAATCCTTCACTGAGGGGCATAGCTCTGTTGTGGACTCTTGTATATGAGACCCTGGGATCATCCCAGCACGCAACTCCATCTGTTTCCCCATCTGCTAACCCTGGCTGTGGCCGCTGGGTACATCCCCACGGCTTCCGGTATTCTGGGCCTGGTGACTGTCACCCTATCTACTGGGGAAACTTCTCGGCCCGGCCTGGAGTGAAGTCCAACTGGGCATATCCCCCCCGAAGCCCACTCACTTCCTGCGTCGGTGCCTGCGTTCCCTGTCGTCGTGGGCTGGCGGCCCGTGTCGATGTCGCCGCCTGCGCTCCCCGTCGTCGCCATCGCCGTCAGCAGCACGAGCCGGCCTGGTGGCATCGCGGGGACGAGGCCTGCGCTCCGGCCTGTCTTCGGGTTCGTCCCCGGGCCGGCGGCGAGCGCGGTGACGGCGAGGCTCCCCGTCCGCCCCAGGCCGGTGCACGTGGCGGCGAGGCGCGTCCCCGGCCTTGACGTGCTCGGCGTCCACGTCCCAGGGCGCATGTTCGCGCTGCTGCGGCTCGCTCTCGCGGCCATACGGGCCTTCCCGGCCAGGCGCGCGCTCAGGGCTCCCGGCCCAGGCGCGCCGCGCGTCGGGGTCCCGCGCGCTCTCGCGGGGTCGCGCGGTCGGGCGCAGCGCGTCGGGCGCGCGGCTCTTGTTGGTATTGTTGTTGCGGTTCTCCTGCGGGTCCACCACGAGCGGCCGATCCAGGTGCGTCTTGACGTCGGGCCGCAGCGGGCGCGCATAGGCGGTGGGCCAGCGCTCAGCCGCGTCCCCGTACAGCGCCTCGCGGCTGGCCAGCAGGTTCTGCTTGCGCATCTCGCTGGTGCGCTGCTCCCACACGGACTTGGCTGGCTTCTGGTTCTTCTGCTGCTCCTTCCTGCAAGGCACGAAGGGGGCTGCTTGCCGTGCTGTGCGGCTGTGTGTGAAGGTGGTCAGATAGCGAGGGCTGCGCCCCCCCCCCCCCCAGGGTTCTTTCAACTTTATAAATTGATGTATATGCATTTGTATGTGAGTGTGCCCTGGCCACGGCAAGTGTGTGATAGTTAGAGGACAACTATCTACAGTCTGTTCTCTTCTTCCACTATGTAAGCTCCTGGGGACTGAATTCAGGTATGGGGCCTTTACTTAATGGCCCTTTCTTTTGGATTGCTGAGTAGGGGTCAGTTTCCCACCTCCGCTTCTCCACCGCTGGGAAGACTGGTGTGATTGGTCTGTTGATGGGCTCATAGCCCTGTGCACTGATGAGGAATGACAGAAACTTTAGGAGGCAGGGTCTGCTTGGAGGAAGGTTATTTAGAGCCTACCTCAGAAGGACGGATTGGCACCTTCCTTCTCTTCTTCTCCAGCACCGTGAGCTGAGCAGTTTGGTTCCATTATGGCTTCGTTAAAATGCCCTGCCTCACCACAGGCTCCAGCTGTCTCAGCAGGAGTGCTCCTGCCTAGATTCTACCAGAGAGGGACTGGGTGTGTGACTCACTGGTGAAGGCCTGGCTGCCTACCACGTGTGAGTCCCTGGGTTCCATCCCCAGTGCCAGAATGAATCAATGAATGAATACATAAATAATTTAAATAGTAGTAATAAAGTCAATGTTTGATCCTTTTCTTCAAGTTGTGGGCAGCTGGGGTGCGCAGGTAGGGGTTGTGGGCAGCTGGTGTGTGCAGGCAGGGGTTGTGGACAGCTGGGGTGTACAGGAGGGGTTGTGGGCAGCTGCGGTGTGCAGGTAGGGGCTGTGGGCAGCTGGGGTGTGCAGGTAGAGGTTGTGGGCAGCTGGGGTGTGCAGGTAGGGGCTGTGGGCAGTTGGGGTGCGCAGGTAGGGGTTGTGGACAGCTGGGGTGTGCAGGTAGAGGTTGTGGGCAGCTGGGGTGTGCAGGTAGTTGTGGGCAGCTGGGGTGTACAGGAGGGGTTGTGGGCAGCTGGGGTATACAGGTAGAGGTGGGTAGCTGGGGTGTACAGGTAGAGGTGGGCAGCTGGGGTGTGCAGGTAGAGGTGGGCAGCTGGGGTGTGCAGGTAGGGGTTGTGGGCAGCTGGTGTGTACAGGTAGGGGTTGTGGGCAGCTGGGGTGTGCAGGTAGTTGTGGGCAGCTGGGGTGTACAGGAGGGGTTGTGGGCAGCTGGGGTGTGCAAGTAGTTGTGGCAGCTGGGGTGTGCAGGTAGGGGTTGTGGGCAGCTGAGGTGTACAGGAGGGGTTATGGGCAGCTGGTGTGTACAGGTAGAGGTGGGCAGCTGGGGTGTGCAGGTAGGGGTTGTGGGCAGTTGGGGTGTACAGGTAGGGGTTGTGGGCAGTTGGGGTGTACAGGTAGGGGTTGTGGGCAGCTGGGGTGTGCAGGTAGGGGTTGTGGGCAGCTGGGGTGTACAGGTAGGGGTTTGGGGCAGCTGGAGTGTACAGGTAGGGGTTTGAGGCAGTTGGGGTGTACAGGAGGGGTTGTGGGCAGTTGGGGTGTGCAGGTAGGGGTTGTGGGCAGTTGGGGTGCGCAGGTAGGGGTTGTGGGTAGCTCTGGAGGAAAGCAGTTGGTTGTGCCTGTTTTTGGGGTAGCACTGGCACTATGGAAGCCTGCCCTGCCATAGCCACTTCCCTTGGCCGCCAGCAGGGGTGTGGTTCTGAATGTGGGTGTTTGGGAACCTCCCTTTAAGGAAGACACTTTCACTGTAACTGCCTCTGACCCACCGGCGAATGTCTGCCCCACTTTTAGAATATGGCATGAACACAGCTGCACCCACCATCCTGCTTGGTCTCACCTCTTTTGTATGGCCAGCCCAGGAACTTGATTCTGACCTTCAGCCCACATAATCATCCCCAACCCACAGTCTGTTACCCAAAGAATAACCAGAGGTACCTGTGAACAGGAGAGTCTGGTCTGCTCAAGAACCCTCTACGGCTCTCAGGATCCAGGACCCAAGTTTGCTTGGTGGCCCTCAAGACTTAGCCTACTCTGCTCCCCTCCCCATCTGTCACCTCACCGCTCTTTCCCATCCTGAAACACCCCTGCCTCAGAGCCTTCCCTCTCTCACTGACTCTCTCACTTCTTTCGAGTTTCGTTTCCTTCTAACCGAGGCCTTGCCTAACAAGTTTGTTTTCTGGATCAGGATCTTACTGTGTCTAGTCTGGACCCAGCTGTCCTTGAACTCACACATATCTGCCTGTCTCCGCCTCCAGAGTGAGGTGTGTGCCACCACACCTGGCTATAAAGTCACAGCTTTGGGGGATGGAGTGAAGCTCGGTGGCAGAGTCCTGGCCTGGGGTGCGCACACGGGGCACAGAGGGCAGCAGGGCTCAAATTCCTCACCCACTGACCCTTCCCAGCTGCTTCCTGGAGGCTTCACAGTGTGCCGTTTAATCACGCATCTCACTTCTTATTGTCCTTTCCTGGACTGGAACAGCCACACGAAAGTGCCCGCCCCGCCCCACATGGATGCTGTTTTCCCAGTCTCTCCCAGGCTCAGTCCTGACCCTCCCCACATCTTTGCCTGAGTGGCACCCGCGGCTTGGGGACACTTACACAGCTATAGACATGTTGGCCGCAGACAGGGGACTCACTTCTGCTACCTCCTTGGCTTTCTGTAGTGCCAGTTTCTGGTTGGCTGCCTCCTCCTCTTCTTGTTCATCCTAGGAAGCAAACGGGATTCCTGTGCACAAGAACAGGCCTGGGGCTCACTCCCCACCTTGCTGTCAGCGGGGACAAAATCTGCAGTACTGAGAAACAAGTTCCGCCTGGACCTTAACCAACTGGAAATAAGGCCCCCAGTCGGACTGGGTGGTGAAAATGTACCCCTTGTGTACAGGCTGGCTCTCTAGCCCATTAAACCTTTGTGGCCCTGCTGGTCTGGCTCAGTACTCCCCAGTGATGGAATAACAGGCTCCTCCTACTGTCTTTTTCTATAACTATTTTTTTTTTTTTGGGTGCTGGGAATTGACCCTGAGGCTTTGCGGCAGCTGGAACAGAGCTGTCAGGGAGCTGCATCCCTAGTCCTGAGCCTGTGGGTGTTCTGTGCTTTTCAGGTTGTTTAAATGCTCTGAACCAGCACCCTTAAACATCAGGTACTCCAAAGGCAGAGCCACACAACTGTCAACAGTGGGGGGAAGGCAGCTGCTGGGGTCCTTAAGATCTATCGTCAGCCTGTGAGAAGATGGGGAGAGGGGCGGGCTCTATGCTTAAGTCCATGGCCTAGATGGACCATCAAAGGCTGGATGTGCTGGTGCACACCTTTAATCACAGCACTCAGGAGGCAGAGGCTGGAAGATCGCTATGAGTTCAAGGCCTGGTCTAAAGAGCGAGTTGTGGAACAGTCAGGGCTATAAAGTGAGACCCTGTCTCAAGGGAATATATATAGACCCACCAAGAATAGGAGCCCTGGGGTAGCTACAGGGTGGCTAATCCCACCTTCTGAGATCTTCTGGGACCAGGAGTAACCACCTTAAAATCTGTCAGTGACAAGGAGGCGGGTGCCCCTCTCCAGGCACCATGCCTAGCATAGCTTAGAACCAGGTCCTGGAAGCATCTGCCTCAACAACACTGAAAAAGCCGGCTCCCAGGCCCCTGGCAGCACCTGCACACTCAGGGCTGCCTCCCGGAATCTGCATTTTCTGCAAGTTCCTGGAAGGGCATGGAGCAATTCAGGTTTAAGCATGGTGTGTGCTGTGGAGAAGACCACACGTTTCAGATTCAGACAGCAGGGTTCAAATCCCAGCCTTTCCACTTATTGCTAATGTGACCTTCAACAGGTCTCTCAGCTTCTCTGTGTCTTCTCTTCATCACCTGAACTTCAAGGACTCTCTGATTCACCCCGCTACACTTTTCTGGCAAACTGTGGTTTTACAAATGTGTCTGATTCCTGGCCTGTCTCCACAGCCTGGATTCCTGCGCCGAGAGGCCAGGCATCTTAGTGTCATGCACTGCTACGACCCTGGCTTCTAGGCCAGGGCTGTGCTCACTGCAGGCGCTCGGTATGTGATTACTGGCTGAGGGATGGCGTACATAAACGGGGGCTCTAGGTGCCTTCCCCTGATTGAGGATTACACCTGTGTGAAACATGTACAACCAAAGGGGAAGATGGGGTGTGTAGGGGAATGGCCACCTTCACTTTGGAGCCCATGCTAGCCTCCTGTATCTTGGATGAGCTCTCGGCTGGATCGGCCTGTGGTGACACATGCCAGCCAGCTTTATGGTGGCTGAACTCTTGGCTTCGCGCCTGGGGTGGGAAACTTCCGCTTTTCCCTGATGGAGGTGGGGCCGGGAAATCCTCCCTCCCTCCCTCCTACCAGGGTCAACAGATGGAGGGTTGGCAGTCCTACCTCTGTAGCCCCAGTGTCTGAGTTCTGAGGCACTGGGGATGAGACCGTGAAGCTGAAACTACGAGAGCTCCAGGGAAGAGCCTGCCTGCAAGCGCTGTGTGGTTTTTAATTTTGCAGAGCCAGCTATGACCACAAAGAAGATGCCTTTGTCCTGACACCCAGGTCGAGGTCCCACCAAGCATCACCCCTGAGGTCTCTTCCCCCAGGCGGATGCATCCGTCTCTGAGCGCACAGCCTCCACACATCACCCTGTCCAGTTTCCTTTGCGTAGTGCGTATCCTGGCAGTCTTGTTCACGGGCTGGCCCACCGGGGGCCATAAGATGCATTGCTGAAAGCAGTATTACCTCCTAGGCTGCCTTGAGGGGCACATGATACCCCAGATAATTCACTGTCATTGAGTATGAATGAAGACCTGGGCTTCATCTCACCCACATGGCTTTTCTTCCCACTTTGACATTCTCCCTGTCCCATCTCTTCTCCTCTGTCCTTTACAGGGTTCTGTCTTTGCTCTCCCAGTTCCTAGTGTATGATACACGCATCTACCCTCCCTGGCCTCAGTTTTTCCACTCCCACTGTGGAGTGAAGATATATATATATATATACGTGTGTGTGTGTGTATGTGTAGGGGGAAGGAAGACAGGCTCTTGCTATGTAGCACAGACTATTCTTAAACTTGCAATCCTCCTGCCTCGGTGCTGTGCTCAGAGGCATGCACTACCATGCTGGCTGCACAATGCTTTATGTAGTGGCTGTAGCCGTCATACCATCTTGGACAAGGGAGTTTGCCTTTCTGACTCTCCAAAGGGAGACGGGAGTAGTGCGTGGCACCCAAAGCACCACAGTTCTTTTCTGTTGTCTCTTGAAGGCCAGCCTGCGGGAATTTCATCTGGCCAGCCCCTCAGCACATGGTCACAGGTGGTAAATATGCCCTCAGCTCCATTCTCTGTCCTCCCAGGCAGCTGACCTGAGAGCATCTTGTCTCTTGGCCTCCCATCAACTGTCCCTAGCAGGCTCCATATGGAAGCCAGAGGGAGGGCACAGTGGGAAGTAGATTCCTGGCCACTGTATCTGAGCCTTGCCATGGTTCTGCATTTCCAGAGGTCCAGCTCTATCTGCGGCCTTATCAATTCACTCCTTGGCCCGTCCTCTACTTGGTAGTGGTGCCCATTACCCTGGAACTCCTTATTCCTCAAGCCCGTGGATGCAGCTGGCTATCTGTCCTCAGTAGCCACCTTGCCATCCCCTTTCCCTTCTGGGCTGTAAACTGTCTTGATCAGGGATGGCATTGCTCCAGGAGAAGTGCCCAATGCTCCCATCCCCAGCAAGAGCCCTGACTCTGTCCGTCCCCACATCCCTCCGCCCCCCTGCTGTCATGATCTGCCTGAGCAGGTGGTTACTATGTCCTCCACCTTGGTGAGCTCCTGGGCATTGGCCAGGTTGTCCACTGCGATGGCCAAGAACACATTCAGCAGGGTGTCTGTATGTCAAGTCAGGGAAAGCAGCCGATGGGAGCAGTGCCCAGAGCCTGGGCATCTGGGTCCCTCCTCCTCCGCCCACACCCAGTCTGTCCCTGGTCCCCATGAAGGATACAGTTCCCGAAGAGGGTGAGGACGATGAAGTAGATAGAGAACACCATGCCGCCTTGCACACCCCCCTGAGACTTGATCCCATCATACATGACCTCATTCCAATCCTCGCCCGTCAGAATCTGAAAGACAGGGACAGACACACAGCCAAACCCCTCTCAGCCAGCAGCTCATTGGAGCCACAGCTGCAGCCATGATCTGTCAGCCCAAGGTCTTCATCAACCTCATGTGAACTCCCATTTCTGTGCCTGTAACTGGGGGCTCTCAACTTGGCTGTGGGAAATAGGGGACTTGGGTGCCTCATGGCTTGCTGTAATCCTGTCTTCTCTGACGTGACACAAAGGTTTGCTCTAGGCTGTGCGGGTCAGGGCACAGGCTCAGCTTCCAGGGAGTTGGTATTTGACCCTGTCTCAAATAGACAGACAGACAAACAATACTTTTAAATGGCAGGAGTCCTGGGGATGCAGCCCAGCAGCAGAGTCCTTGCCTAGCTCGTCATCTGGCATGGCTAATGGACTTGTGAGCTGTATGATGTGGGATTCTTGCTAGTGTAAGAAGAAGAAAGAGAGCGAGAGAGGTCTGGGGACGTGGCTCAGTAACAGAGTACTTGCCTAGAATGTATAAACCCTGGGGTTCTTTTCTTTCTTCCTTTTTTTTCTTTTCAAGACAGGGTTTCTCTGTGTTAGCTCTGCTCAGGTATCTTTTTGGCAGTGCTCAAATGCTTGAAAAACTTGAGGGTGTGATGTGAGTTCACAGAAGTACAGCACAGAAAGACAGATACACCACAATCTCGCTCAGGCTGAAAACTCAGGTTGCCCTGGCGGATGGACTAGCTGATTAGAGGCCGGGGGAGGGGGTGGAGAAGCCCCCATGAAGAGCGGTGGGGAGAGAGGGACAGTGGTGCAGGCATCTTACATACAGCTGTGATGCTCTGGGGTGTATGATGTGCTGGGCCCCAGGGCCATGCACACTGTCAACATTCTGCCGTGCCACAGTTCCCACCCTAGGTAGATAATCATCCACAACCTTTAAAAAGCTCTCTCTCTCTTCAAAGATATACACATAATTATGTGTATGTGGTGTGTGTCTGTGTGTGGGTTTGTGCACAAATGGAGATGCCCTCAGACTCCAGAAGAGGGCATCAGATTCCTTGGAGCTGGACTTACAGGTTTTTCCTTCTTTCCTTCTTTCCTTCCGTCCTTCCTTCCTCCCTCCCTCCCTCCCTCCCTTTTCCTTTGAGAGCCTAGGCCATCTTCAAACTTAAGTTACACCTATGTATCTTTTAGTGTGCGTGTGTGCATGCTCACGCATATGCCACAGTGCTAGTGTGGAGGTCCGAAGACAACATGTAGAAGTCAGTTCTCTCCTTCCACCATGCAAGTCCCAGAGATCAAACCCAACTTGTCAGGCTTGGCAACAAATACCTACTGAGGCATCTCATCCGTCCACGGATCATTTAATTTTTTGAGTTGGGGGTCTCACTATATAGACCAGGCTGGCCTCAAACTGACAGAGATCCACCTGCTTCTGCTTCCCAAACACTGGGAACACATCACCATACCCAGGCCTTGTGTCTTTTAAAAATAATAAAAAAAACCAACACCCCAGTTTCCCTCCTTCTATCCATAGTCTCTTTGAGAATGAAGGAAATGGAGAAGAATTCTAGAATGTTCCTGTGCTGTGGCTAGGCTTCTCAGCCCGGCACTGTTAGTCGGGGGTATATCATTTCCTGGGAGGACCAACCTGTGCCCTGCCCAACGCTGAACATCACTGGCCTCCAGCAACCAGATGCCACTGTCATTCGTCCACTCAACTAGGTATGACCATCAACACTGTCTGCAGACAATGCCCTGTGCCCCTGGGGGACTGCAATCATCCATTCTCTGGCTTGGGACGTTCTTCACAGCTGCCCTCTCTCGGGCGTGCCTTGAAAAGGAAGGATGGAGGCCACATCTTCTATACACCCCCTTTCTTTCCCAAAGAAAAAAATAAATTTGAATAAACCTAGAGATTTCTGATCAGCCAGTCCCTAAGCATTAGTGTAGGTGCCCCAAGAAGATGCAAGCCTCCTTATCCTGGAAGATGTGGAGACCCTTGCTTCCAAGATAGGCGCATACATTAACCAGGTCTTTCCCTTTTGTTTTGGGCGGGGCCTCACAGCCTGGCCTTGAAGTGGAGCTCCTCCAGTCTCAGCCTCTGAGTACTGGGATTACAGGTGTGTGCTACTATCCCAGGTGCTCTTTCCTTTTCGCTTTTCTTTTCCACTCCTCTCCTTCCTCCCCTCCTTTCTTTTTCCAACAGTGTTTTATGTAGCCCAGACTGACCCCAAGTTCATCAGGAACTGAAAATGATGAACTTCTACTTCCTCTTGCCCCAACCTCAAGTCCTGGGGTGACAGTCCAGTGTGCCTCATGCCCAGCCAGCTTTACTGGTTGTATTGATACGTAAGTAGCTGGAGTCCTGCAGACCCTGGAGGGATGGTTTTGCCCTGGGGAAGCCAATTCCTAGAGATGGGGAAGAATCTGGCCATTGCTCTGATACAGAACAGCTTACCCTGACAGCTGTCAGAGTCACTACTGCAGGGGCAGACGCTCCGCTTTACTCTTCCTTCTCATGAAAACCACAAGCAAGGCTCTTCAGTACCCCAGCTGGCCTTGGTACTGTCCTATGTGGTCCTGTAGGGCATCCTACACTCTCTTGGGATGTACAAGTGACAAGCTATCCTCTCCTGTGTGTGTGCATGCGCGTGTGTGCACGTGAGTGTGTATGTCTGTACTTGGGCTGGAATCCAGGGCTTCTTATGTGCTGAATAAATGCTCTAACACTGAGCTGCATCTCCAGCAACAATAAAAACAAGCATTCCAAAACAGTCGGAAAAGGGAAGAAATAAAGGAATTCAGGGCCTCTGTGATTAGGGGCCCGCATCGGGCTGAGAAAGTTCATACCTGAAACACAGTCATTATTGCTGCTGGGAAGGTGTCGAAGTTGGTGGGAGGAGTCCCCTCATCAAAATTAAACCTGTGGATAGCAAGGACATTCTGTGTTAGCCCTTCTGCTCTGAAAGCTTGGTTTAGTTTCTGGTTCCCATGGTAACGTGTAGAGTATCTGTTCCCCAGGAAGATACTGTATTTGGTACCCAGAAGCTCAAACTGCCCTAGATGACCATTCGTGTCCTGAGGGAAAGTCACAGGATGAGGTCGGCTTGAAGGGGCCGGGTGGTGGTGGGTGTGTCATGGAAGCTGAGCAGGAGTCCCAATTGGGATGTCCAGATGTAAGGCAGTACTTACTGGCCACCAAACAGCTGCATCCCCAAGAGGGCAAAGACAACGATGAACAGGAAGAGGAGGAACAACAGACTTATGATGGACTTCATGGAGTTGAGGAGGGAGACAACCAGGTTTCTGAGAGATGCCCAGTACCTGCCGACAGAAGCCAAGGTGGGGATCAGAGCAGGGTATGCTAGGCACCATGTTAGGCAGGGTGCCCTCCTCATCCCCTCAACGGAGGGCTAAGAAACCTCAAAACTTACTTTGTGACTTTGAAAATACGCAGTAACCTGAGAGCTCGTAACACGCTGATTCCAAAGGATGTACCAGGTTTTATGACAGCCCAGATGACTTCAAAGATGCTCCCAATGATGACCTGCAACAGAGAACCTAGTCTCAAGGTCACGGTTGACCTCAGGACTCCAACCCATTTCCAGGGCCTGAACCAGGTCCACCCCTCAGGGAACATAGTGGCCTCTATCGGGAAGTCTCCACAGGTTAGAGTTAGGCTTATAGGAAGCCTGTAAGGCTGGTAAGAGGTAGGACCTGGCTGGAGGATATCACCAGGGCTCAAAATTCCCTCCTCCTTTAGGTTGTTTCTGTCAGGTTTTATTTGTATGTTTTGTTTTTGAGACAGGGTTTTCCTGTGTAGCCCTGGGTGTCTTGGAGCTTACTCTGTGGACCAGGTTGTCCTCCAACTCAGATATCTGTCTTCCTCTGCCTCTAAGTGCTGGGATTAAAAGCGCGCACCAGCATGCCTGGCATCTGTCAGGTATTTCGTCACAGAGACTAACAGATGGTACCCAAACTCATCTTTTCCCTCTATGTTTCTATTTATTAACAGCTCACATATGCCTGATAGCCCAGCACTTGAAGGCTGAGGCAGGAGGATCACTGGAAGTTGGAGGCCAGCCTGGGCTACAAAGAAACACTGTTTCAAACTCTCTCTCTCTCTCTCTCTCTCTCTCTCTCTCTCTCTCTCACACACACACACACACACACACACACACACACACGGCCACGAAGCACACACTATAAAATTAACCCTCCGGGTATACAGAGGCATCCACAAGAGCCTATTGTTGGTCCAGGCCGCCCTGCAGCCCCAGAGAGGCCCCATGCATCTTTCCCCTCCTGAGCCACAGCACTGAGGATCTGTTTCCTGTCTGTGGGTCTGCCTCCCTGGCCACTTCACAGAAATGGAATTAGGTGATATGTAACCTTTGATGTCTGGTTTTCTTCACGTTTTCTCTCTATTTAATTTATATTTATTTATTTTCAATTATTTATTGTTATTGTGGATATGATTGGGTATATTGCCACAATATGAGCAGAGGACAGTTTGCAGGAGTTGGTTCTCTGCTTGTACCATGTGGGTCCTGGGGGTTGAACTCAGGTTAGCAGGCTTGGCAGCAAGCACCTTTACCCACTGAGCTATCCTGCTGGCCCAAGCTTTTTTTTTGCTTTCTTAAAAAAGTATCATGTAGTCCAAGTCTGCCTTGAATTCATTGTGTAGCGAGTCCTTTGCACTAGGAAGAACAAACTAATCTTGAACAATATAGCTCAGAATGGTCTTGAACTCTTCTTGATCTTGAGATAGACAGAATCTCTGCCTCACAAGAGCTGGGATCAAAGTGCCTGCTACCATGTCTGGCCTTGAGTTTTTGGAGATAGTGTTTCTCTGTGTAGTCCTGGCTGTCCTGGAGCTAGCTCTGTAAATCAGGCTGGTCTTGTACTCAGACATCCACCTGCCTCTGCCTCCCCAGTGCTGGGATTGAAGGTGTGTGTCACCATTGCCCAACTGCCTTGAGTTTTCCATTCTTTCCATGTTCACCACAGAACTGCTGGGTTCCCCACTTCTACTAAGACAGCTTAACTGTCCCTACCTACAGTGACAGCAGAGCTGTGTGTCGTCAGTGCCCCCTCCTTCCTCCTCACCTAACGTCCAGCCTCCTGATTCCACCCACTGGACAGCCGAGGCTACCCTCCGGTCCAGGGCTGAAGCCATGACCTGCACATGGCTCCCTCCACTTCCATATGAAGTCCCTGGGTATCAGCTACCGCCAGTAAGATCCGGAAGGAGAGCCTAAGAGAATGCGGTACTCACCCCACAGTCAAAGCAATTGAAGGAAGAGTGGAAGTAAGGCCGCGTCCCGAGCCCATACATTTTTATAAACATTTCGGACATAAAGAGTCCTAAGAAAATGAATTCTGCATAGTCTGGAAGGAAAAGGAAGAACAGTGGGTTAGGCCACGGGGAAGACCCCAAGCCTCTGCTTTTTCTCCCGTGTCTCCCCGGCAGGCAGGGAGGTAGAGACGATACTCTGTGTAACATGGCCAAGGATAGCTATGCAAGGATTCTTTCCCATGGGCTTCAGTTTCTCATAGTTTTTGCCCTGGTTTGATGAGGAAAGCTGGGTGTAGGATATTGCTACGGACCTAGTTTTGTGTTGACTGATGTAATGCCTTATTACATTTACTAAGTGACTAGCTGGGTTTCGGGCATAGCCATACATGTGTGGAAAGCCTGTTTACACTAGACACTGAGAGGCAGAGGCTTTGGATCAGCCATAGAAAGCCGGCCTAGAATCCTCCAGTAAGTCAGCGGGGTACGGCTCAGTGGTAGAGCACTAACCTAGCATGGATAAAGCCTTGGGTTCCATTCCAGCACTGCAATAAACAAATGAAGGAGCAAGCGGGAAAGGAGGTGGAAAGAAAGGACAGACTGGGGATTTAGAGCAGTTCCCACAGACCTCAGAATTACGGCTCCAGAGCTAATTCTGCCTGACGATTGCCAAGGTTTGCATGCCTGTGTTCCCTTTTGGAAATCTGTGAATTTTTTTTTTTTTTTTGAGACAAGGTCTCACTACGTAGTCTTGGCATTCCTATTTAGACCAGACTGGCCCCAAGCTCACAGAGATCTACATGCCTCTGCCTCCCCAAGTGTTGAGATTGAAGGCCTGTGCCATCACACCTGGCCTCTGAAACGGTAATCATTCCCCCAGGGAGCAGCTCCCACGGGGTATGAAGCTGTTAGAACAGTGTGTGGTGGCCGAAGGGGCATCAGGCCCCAGAGTCCTGTCAACAGCCCTCGATATGACATAATAGGTCTTGATATGGGAGTTCGTCTTCTGGCCTCTCATGGGGACATGGTAGTCCCCCTTTCAGAGGACACAGCACTGGGAGCAGAGACAGCTTTCCAGCAAACAACCAAGTCTGCCCGAATGCCACAAGGAAACTTCCCAGGCTCCAGGAATTCAAGAAAGGAACTGTCTCTTGATGTTCAATCACCCAGCCTCTGGTGTTGTTACAGTAGTGTGGATTGGCTAAGAGGATCGTCAAGAGCCCTAGCTAGGCCCTGCTTTAAAGAGGTGGTTTGAATCGATTACCAAAAAACCCTCATCGTGATATCTTGTCCTAACTTCCTTTGATTTGTAGGATTTTCTAAAACTCCTTGTTTTCAGGAAAAACCCTTGAGTGTCTGGGACAGAGCAGCTAGAGAAACAGATCTGCCTATAATAGCTGGTCCCTCTGAGATCCAGCAGGGGGCGCTCTCTGAGACGCTTGCTCCCTCATTACCATGGAAACGAGGGAGCTGGTGACAGGCAACATTGAAGGGACCAGGAGAATCTCAGGATGGTCAGACCCACCCTCTACAGAGAGATCCTGAGACCCAGAAGCACGTGTCATCAATCCCAAGGGTGCTCACTTGCTCTGGTCTGGATTTCTCTGAAACTTCATCTTAAGATTCACACCGTGTCATTCTTGATCCTTACAGAACACCTTAGTACTGAAAATCTCTGACCGATGGCCGATAGCCTGAACCGGCTTAGGGGGTAGGACTTCCATCAGACGCAGTTTGGACTTAGGAACAGAAATCCTGGATACATCCCTTACAAGCTGTGTGACCTGGGAAAAGTTCCTTTGCCTCTCTGTCTCTGTTTTCATTAACTGGAAAATGGGGCTAACTAAAAGATGTCTACAGACACCAAGGCCTCCGGGCAGGAAGTTCTAATCCCGTCTCCTTAACCAGGACAGACTGCAAAATGATTAGTGGAGGGAACTAGGTGAGTAAAAATAGTAGCGATCAAGAGGTTCTGACGGCAAGCGAATAGCCTGCATTACACGGCTCCAGAGGGACCAAGGCAATGATGTAGCTTGGAAGCGGGTCAGGTGAAGGAAGGACAGTCCCCTTGGGGTGTCCTGTGGGGCCAGACAGCAGGCCTGGGGACCACGACAGTTCAAGAAAATAGTCCCTTAGATTAGAATTCAGGCCTTTCTAGGTCAGAGGCATGACCATCCCTTAGAGCTGTCCTAGGCTACTTCTGAGCAAAGGCAGGAAACAGGTCAGAAGGCTAATAGCTCCAGGAGGAGGCAGCCAGTAGGCACGAAGGAGTTAGTAGTTCTCGAGGGGCCTCCAGGGGAGAGCCAGGCCATCCATATCCCTGTCAGGCCCACACTCTCTTCTGTTGGTTATCCTTAGAGTTTGTTCAGTCCTGGGGGCTCCCGCCTTCCAGTGCCCATGCCCAGTCTAGGTAATCCTGAAATGGGTAGAGGGTCCTGCATCCTCTGAGGAACTAACGCAGGCTCACATTTGTTCTAAAGGGCCCGTTCCAGACAGAGGGGAGGCAAAAGGAGAAGGCAGAGGAGGAGAGGAGAGTGAACAAGGAAGGAGGTAGGGGCTGGGGGCCTATAATCCCCCAGGGTGGGGTTGTGGTCATGGCTCAGTGGTAGAACCCCTGCCTACTGTGTGTTAATTCTAATGCTAGCACTGCGAAGAAGGGAAGAGAAGAGAGAGGCAGAAGGGGTCGCTGCAGTGCAGGACAGCAGAGGGGCAGAGGGGGGTCGCTGTCTACAGGACAGCAGGGGCAGAGGGGTCACTAGCAAGACACTTTGTGGTTTTAAGGTTCCCAACCTGAAAGTGCACATCTCATGGACATTCTGAGCAGTGCCACTGTCTCTATGTGGCTCTTTTGGTCACTGTCTCCTATCTCCTCCATCTGCACTCTGTCTGTATTCCTGTATCTCACTTAGAAACAGTAGCTGTGTATTCTTAGGACTGTGAGAAAGATGGGCGGAACAAGTCTGGCTGTGTTCTGTGTCCCTTTCAATGGTTCATGTCACAGAAGGCTGCACTATAGAGTGGGAACACTACAAACCAGATTGGGGCCTTAAAAGCTGGGGCTTAGTGGGAGGTGCTTAGGACGCTGACAGTGTGCCTCGTTGTCCGTCTGTCTTACTCTGAGCCTGTCTGTCTTTGCATTCAGATCTATCTCTGCCAGTCTCTCTTTTCTTTTTTGTTTTTACTACTTTGTGCTTTGTGCATGTATGTATGTGCCTGCGTGTGCGTGTAAGTGTGTGTGTGTGTATATTCCCATGCCGCAGTGCTCCTGCGAAGCCAGAGGTTTGGTGGGAATCTTTTCTCTTTCTACCAGGTGAGTTCCGGAAGTCAACTTAGGTTTCCAGGCTTGACACCTGAGCCTTTACCACTGAGCCATCTAGCTGGGTCCTGTCTTTCTCTCTTTTGGATGTCTGCTCGTCTGTGTGTCTTGTCTTGGCTTCCTGGCTGCAGGTGTGAGAACAGGCTCCGGCACACACTCCTTCCGCCCCCATGTCACTGCCCAGAGCTAAGCCAGAGCAGGTGGCGTCATGCCCTCAACCCTGCCAAGCTATGTCTTTGCTCAGCTGCCTCAGGTCTAACACCAGTCTAAGGCAGCTCCACTTGTAGCAGCAGCTGCGAGGTCCCTGTTTCAGCTGCAGAAATGGTCACTGGTCCTAGGCAGGGGCGGGTTGGGGAAGGGCCGAAGGAGCAGCAGAAGCCGGCAGAGAGCAGCACTCACAGAGGAAGTCGGAGAGCCACTCGGGCTGGTTGTAGTGGACGATGGCGACGCATAGCGTGTTGAGGGCTACCAGACTGAGCACGGTCCAGTAGAAGGCCTGAGTTTTGACCATGCGGCGGATGTAGAAACGCATCCTTCTCTCCTTTTTGTGAAAAAAAGTTGAGTTCTCCAGCTTGGCACTTTTAATGCTGGCTCTGGCAAAAGGAGACCCTGCGAAGGAAAGGACAGAGAAAGTGAGACTCAGGATGGCCTTTGGTGAGGAGGCCCATAGGAAGGGGGTCACAGGAGAGGACAAGATGGAGCTGAGCTGTGCTGCAAGTTCCCTGTGGGAGCTACATGCTCCAAAGGCTCCAGGAAGAGGGCTGGCAGGATGCTGGGTCCCAAGTGATCCACAGGGACTGCCCACTTGCAGCATGGAGTGGCTGTTTAGGGTTCGGTGCACTTTAGATGTTCAGATCAGGAGTACTCAGCTGAGGGTCACTGGAGAACTGAGGGGTCATGGGCTCTTATTAGGCCCTGAGCTGGGGACAAGACCGAGGCAGAATTCCCACACATGCGAAAGTGGCCATTCAAGGAGAACACACATTAAACAGGGATGGCGCAGTCAGTAAGTGCTTGTTTTAAAACTTCAAAGACCTGGGTTGAACCCCAGAACCCACATCAAGCCGGACAGAGCAGAACACTTGTAATCCCAGCGCTGGTGACAGCAGACTCGCTGGCCAGCCAGTCTCGCCTAATGGCTGGGTCCAGGCCAGTAGGAGACCAGATCTCAGAGGAGGTGCAGGGTTCCTGAGGATGCTCCCTCAGGCTCTCCTCTGGGCTCTACGCAGATGTCACCCACACAGACGTGAACAGGTGAGGGCTAGACCAGGACCCGGTGTCCTCCATGGCCTCTACATGGTCCTCCATGGCCTCTACATGCAAGCAGGACACACACCACAAACACCAACATTTAAAAAGTCTAAATGGAATATAATAATTTTTAAAAAGTGTTTTCATTGTGTGTGTGTGTGTGTGTGTGAGAGAGTGTGTGCGCACACACGTGTGCCATGTGAATACAGATGCTCATGAGGCCGGGAAAGGACAAGCATCACCAGTGGATGTGAGTGTGGGAACTGGACTTAGGTGTTTTAACCCACTGAGTATCTCTCCAGGCCCCGAGTGTAATAACCGATTGGAGCCTATACCTACAGAGGCTTCCCCTTTCTCTCGTGCTCCATACTCTCTATTTTCTTTCTTTCTTTACTTTTTTGATAGTGCCAAGAATGGAACTCAGGGTCTTGCACACAGCAGTCACACACAGTAGGTGAACACAGTAGGTGAACACTCTATTACTGAGTCATGGCCCCTACCATTTATGATTAATTATTTTTATAAAAACAATTACAGGGGGCTGGAGAGATGGCTCAGAGGTTAAGAGCATTGCCTGCTCTTCCAAAGGTCCTGAGTTCAATTCCCAGCAACCACATGGTGGCTCACAACCATCTGTAATGGGGTCTGGTGCCCTCTTCTGGCCTTTGAGCATACACACAGACAGAATATTGTATACATAATAAATAAATAAATATTAAAAAAAACTTACTTTATAAAAAAAAACAATTACATTTAATACAAGTAGACACGAATCGCCGATAAGCTGGTGGATTGCATAACCGGACTTTTTAAACTACTTGCTACGATGGTTTGTGTGTGTGCACCCATCCACGTAGACCAGCAGAGGATGTCAGGTACCCCGGAACTAGGGTGTTGTGAACTGCTCTATATGGGTGCTGGGAATGGAACGACCAGAGTCTCACAGGGGCAGTGAGCAACTTCCCTGTTGTGCCATCTGCAGCCTCTGTAGGTGGTTCTGAAGCGTGTCTACACCGCAGCATGGCTAGCTTGAGCAGTTACCGTGTGTATTACTGTTATGGTTTGCCTCTTACGTGTTTCCAGCCTCTAGCGTAAATGGGAGGGGGTGAACACTTTATGAGTTGGGGCCTAGAGGGATGTGCTGGGTGGCTTCAACTTGACTCAAACCTTGATCTATCTGGAAAGAGGGAATCTTAATTGAGAAAATACCTCTGTGAGACCGGCCTGTAGGCAAGCCTGTGGGGGACTGATGTGGGCAGGTGGTCAGGGTGCGGGGGGGGGGGGGGGGGGCAGGCAGAGCAAGCCAGAGGGAGCAAGCCAGTAAGCAGCACTCCTGCACAAGAGAATAAGTCACTTCTGAAGAACTAACAGTCGGTAAAGGGGCCAGAGATGGAGCTGAGTAGGGGAGCTGGCCCCTATGGCACTCACTGGGCTGTGCCCTCAGCTTTGCAAAGCCAAGTAAGCAAATAAATAAAAGCTGCATGAACAGTAAGTCAAGGAATTGATCTTATTAAATCAATTAATCTATAATTAAACAATGCCAAGTGATATATCATGAATAAATCAGGAACATTACAGATTGATGCCTCCACTAAGGAGTGTCCAGAGTGTCAGTCTCCCTCATCCTCGTCAGCACGGGGTTGGATCACTTTTTCATGTTTGTCAGAACGAAGGATGAGGAAGACCAGAAGCTCGCTAAGAGTGGGCATCCGTCTAACTCACAAGGTCTCAACTTGGGCTCTCAAGTACACAACAACATCACCATGTAGGGATAAGTCCCGCCCCTTGGGGGGCGTGTTCGCCTTGGGCTAATGTCTGCCTATAAATTTGGCTCCCAGCCCTCTCTTTCTGCTTTCCTGGTCTCCGCAGGAACGGTGGTTCTGTAAGTCTATTTTGCCATTAAAGCTATATATATTTTTACAATCTGTCTGCATTCGTTTACGCCGTTACATTTTGGCGTCCAACGTGGGCTATTTTGCCCCCACTCCAGCGGGTAGCCCGCTAGCTAACACAGCACCCTCCTGGGTGCTGTTTTTCAGTTCATGACTCCGGCCCCAGTGCCGAGTCCGAGACATACTCGGCCACACAGGCCCATTCTGCCTGCCTTGGCTAAGTTTGCAGCGGAACCCCACTGCCTGAATTAGCAGAAGCTCAAGTACCTGCGGTTTTGCAACAAAAGCTGCCACAGCGGCAGATTTGGTCTGATACAAAGTGACTTGGCCGGGCAGTGGTGGCCCACGCCTTTGATACCAGCACTTGGGAGGCAAAGGCAGGCGGATCTCTGTGAGTTTGAGGCCGGCCAGGCAGTGGTAGCGCACGCCTTTAATCCCAGCACTTGGGAAGCAGAGGCAGGCGGATCTCTATGAGTTTGAGGCCGGCCAGGCAGTGGTAGCGCACGCCTTTAATCCCAGCACTTGGGAAGCAGAGGCAGGCGGATCTCTGTGAGTTTGAGGCCGGCCAGGCAGCGGTAGTGCACGACTTTAATCCCAGCACTTGGGAAGTAGAGGCAGGTGGATCTCTGTGAGTTTGAGGCCGGCCAGGCAGTGGTAGCGCACGCCTTTAATCCCAGCACTTGGGCGGCAGAGACAGGCAGATCTCTGTGAGTTCGAGGCCAGCCTGGTCTACAGAGCTAGTTCTAGGACAGGCTCCAAAAACACAGAGACCACCACTGGCAGGAACTGATCATTGAAGGTAAAAAATTTTTCTTTTATAAATAAAATGTCTGAACACATTAGTATTCAAGAATTTAACAGTTTTTTAAATTGTACCATGTGGGAGATTTTACAAGAGGTGTCTATCACCCCACATCTATGGATCCTTCTGGGATTCGTAGTTTTCATTGGCACTAAATGGTTTGATAATAGAAATATGATAAAGTCTTTACGAGACGAATCCAGGATTCTTAAGGCAGAGATTGAATGCTTAAAAACAATTGAGAATCAGTTTGAAGTTCTCCAGGCTGATGTTAAGGAGAAATTCATTACTATGGAAGAGGGAACAGCTGATCTGGATCTTAAGCTTCAGTCCCTTTCTGTAGGAACTGAAACATTAGTGGTTGATATTAAGGAGAAATTCATTACTATGGAAGAGGGAACAGCTGATTTGAATCGTAAGCTTCAGTCCCTTTCTGTAGGAACTGAAACATTAGTGGCTGATATTAAGGAGAAATTCATTACTATGGAAGAGGGAACAGCTGATTTGGATTGTAAGCTTCAGTCCCTTTCTGTAGGAAATGAAACATTAACTGAGAGAATCAAAACTGCTGAATGTGACAATCGGATTTTGTCTAAAGCTTATGACAGATTGATGGAAAGATTGTCAATACAAGAAGGCACGGTTTATGCCATAAAAATTATGTCCAAAGATGAGATGTTATCTCTAACGGACAAACTTCATACTTTAGAATCCTCAATGAAGGCTTTGGAACATAATTCTGGACAGGAGATTCAGACATTGCAGAAGGCAATGGTGAATAGAATTGAAAAGATTGAGGAATTTCTAAATTCTGATGAAGAAGAGCAAAGGGTAGAAAGGCAAATTTTAACTACATCTGTGAGTAAATCTTTCCGGGACAATTTCCACAAAGCTCTACCTACAGCTCTACCTGCCTTTCCAGTAATAACAACAGAGACGGTGATTGGTTCCAGAAACCCTAGGGTCATCAAGGAGGATACATGGGAGCCTGTCCGTATGAATGATCTCAAGGAAATAAAACAGGCTGTCATGACTTTTAGGATGCAAGCCTCTTTTGTGAAAGAGATGCTAAGATCTTGGGCCACGACAAGCAGAGCAACCCCCTCGGACTGGCTCCAGCTGAGCTCTGCGGTACTTGAGAGTGGACCGCAATTGAAATGGAAATGCTTATTCAGGCAAGAGGCTAGACTTTTAGAACAGCAGGAAAAAGAGAAGGGAATTGACATTTCCCTAGATAAAATTCTAGGTGAAGGGCTCTTTTCTGACCCTCAGGAACAAGCTAATTTGGATGAAAACACACTCTCCATGTGTACTACAGCAGCCTTAAGGGCTTGGGACAGGGTACAAGACCCAGGACAGAGAATGGAATCATTTGTCAGAGTTAAACAGGGTCAGAGAGAACCCTTTAGTGACTTTTTACAAAGATTAACTAAGGCTGTACAAATAGGGATATCTGACCCAGAAGCAAGACGTATAATGATTGAGTCTTTGGCTTATGAAAATGCAAATGTGGAATGCAAAAGGATTTTGGGCCCTTTAAAGCTCAGATCAGCGCCCTTGGAAGAATGGGTCTTGCATACACTCAATGTTGATACATTTGATTATGGCACTGAAGCATGGGTAGAAGAAGCAATTTCCAATGCTAAAAGGAGACACCAGAATAC